CCTAATTCTACATCAATAATTTTACCTACATCAGTGTCTGTATTTTCTAATATCTGATCTAGTTTATCCTTCAACTGTTGAGGAATGCTGACATTATTAAGTCTTTTATTTATGTTTTTATTCTTTAGAATAATTAATGGCCATATTTTTATGTCACTAACATTGTACCAAGTCTCAGGAATAGTTAGTCTTGAATAACTTTGACATATTTGTTTCTTTTGTGCATTGTTAGAGAGATTTGATGGTTCTACTGAAGATGTACCTTGTATTATCGGGTCATCATCATCTAAACCTAACGATAACTCATCTCTAAAATTTGTGCATAGAGCAATTTCCTCACCTGAAGATCTCTCCAACCATTTTTCAGAATCTAACATTTTATCTAGTATCTGAACAAAAGAGTAGTTTCTTATTCTTCTGATTATTCTGTCTCTATTAGCTTCTGTAATCTTATTTAATTTAACAAAGTCGAGTACTACTGCAAACTTGATTTCTTCTGAAACTGTGGTATCATTCTGATTTATTTCAGATTTTGATTTTCATTTCATAGGGGAAGAAACAGTAAAAGAGTTGAATAACAAACATAAGTAAGATAACGTAATCAGTACATTTACACATTTTTTGATGTATAGCTTTTTTAATTTTATTTGCTTACCAGCGAGTTTAGATTTGGTAGAGCCATGGTTAACCAATGATGACCAGTTCTTTCCAAGCTTTAGAACTTCTTCGTATAGATGTACTGATGATTTTTTGGTGTTTTCCAGATTGGTAAACTTCACTGATGATGTAACACTGTTGTTGGTTCACTTGTATTTAATTTACATATAATAATTTAAAAGAAATTACACAATTTTCACTAAATTAAATCAATTTTTAAGAGCTTAATTTTCGTGACGTTTCTCAAACGCGCACTATCAAGTTATAATGATATCACTACTCCGACAGATGGAGTCAGACAAAATATTTTCGATGTATCGATGTCTTGCATTGATTATTTCCAAAGATTATTATTTTATTAATAATTTCCAACTCAACAACAATTTTCATCTATAATTTAGTCAAGTTACCAATTGAATTAAATAATTGTAAATTTACTTATTGAATCTGTGCAAAACTCGTGCCTTCATAAACCCATTTTAATCATGTAAAAAAGTCGTCTAAAGATAAAAAATAATGGCTAAAAAATCAATTCCAACATTGAATGTCGAGACTTAAAACCAACATAACAAACTTCAATTTTAAATTGTGTTTTATGATAAATAATGGCTCAAAGTAAACCTAAGAAGCTCAAATAGTGAACCAATCAATTTATATATTTGACCCAAACACAAGACAACTTTGTATTAAAAATTGAACTTGAACAAAATGATTTACAATTCAAGTCAACAACAAGATGAAAAAGTAGCAATTATTTGGACAAAATAAGATAACCATTCAGATTTAATGATCAAATGATTGGAATTGAAAGCAAATTCAAATATTGAATTGAATCCAATGTTTTTAAAGGTCTGTTTGAAGTTTCTACCAGCCATTAGAAAAAGTAATTCATGAAAATCTCTCAACTATTCTGTTGAACCAGCATTTTGAATATTGACTGAAAATTTGGCCGATTTTGATGAAAATGTATTTACCATTCTCAAGTTATTGAAATGAAAACAAAGGTAATTTCATTGAACATTTCAGTGAAATTTATCCAGAAACTATTTCTCCATCTTCTCCATAATTCAATATCATTTTGAATCACTGACTGGATATGAACTTGAATTGATCCAAGAAACAAAAGATTTGGTTGAAGCAAAAAGAAACAAATTTTTCTACCGTAAAAATGAACCAATTCAACTGAATGTATTACTTTTGGTTTCTCTGAATATGGACAAGAAAGTCTGTTGTCTGCTTTCAATTTAATCTCAAGTAAAATATTCTAAGTAATGAGTTCTGAGTTTCCCAACAAGAAAAAAATCAAAGCTTCGAATTACATTTCAAGATTAAAAAAGACTCACCTTCAACTCTTTTCATATTTTGTTTTCTTTACCAGAATCATTTTGAATTACAATTTACATTTCCCTGTATTAACGTTTCACAATTATTTCCACTGATTTACTAAATCATTGAATCACCAAATTCGCACTATAAACAGATTCTGTCCCAATATTGAATCAGCTTTGATTGTCAGTGAAGACGATCCAAAATTGAATGTAAAAGTAATTTTGTATCCATAATGAATGCTTACAAAGTAAGGCCATTGGATTGATTCATTGACATTAATTCATTAATAACTAGACTAAATCGCAATCAAGTTGTCAATTTGATCTTGTTTTCAATTTAACCCAATATTTGGATGAACATCCAAGATACAGTAAAATGTGTCAGAGCCTTGTGACTATCAAATTGTTGATCATCGATATTTCATCTTGATACAATTAAATAGCAATGAGTTTCATTGAGATTTTTGTTAATCATGTTCCATAATCAGCTTCTAATCAACTTTGATTGGTACAACTTTAAGTAGGAAAAGTGCGACCTTTAGATTGATACAAATCTTAATTCAATGTTGACATTTCTTTATTGCTGTAAAACAAATGAGACTAAATTGTAATCAAGTTGTCAGGCAATTTATTACACTTTTTTCATGTAAAAATTGTAACCATGAAAAATGCAATTTAAATCTGAAAAATGAATAAAAAGATAATATCATTTCAAGAATAATATAGAGCATAAATAATTCAGATAAATTCATATTATTCTGCATATTGATGTGTCCATGAACAGAAAAGGTCTGTAAATGGCTTGATGAATTGCATCTGATTTTGGCATTTAATTTAAATTTCCAATTAACCGTTTCTTCCTCAATTCAAAGCGATTTGATTGTTTTAATTAAATTAGAAAGACAAAAAAATTGAATTCTAATTGAATAATTAGTTTTTGATTCACAAGCATCTCACCAGAACAACAAACTAATCGAAGTTGATCATTTCTGATTCTCATTGAGAAAGTTCAACGAAGCAAAACTCGATTCCGGTGTCAACTCAATTCTGTTTGATGAACACCAATTTTGGAAGTTTGAAGAAAAGAAAAAGACTCAGAATTTTCACATTACAATATTGAATATAACATTGTGTGTTTATGTTTAACAGGGAGTGAAGAAGAAGAAGAAAGAAAGTTTTGGTGATCATGAAATTCTGAGTTAAGTCTGTAGATGGAAAAGATTTACATAATTTCATTGTGAATTGACGCAAACAGATAAAAGAAAAGGTAAAACATTTCAAATTATGGATAACGTTTTCTGACAGTTATTTCATCCTGAAAAGTAAAACATTTCAATATTGTAAGAGTTTAAAAGAAAAGAAAAATTGGGAAAAAATTTTCTCATAAAATTGTTAATCTAACAACTAATTTCATTGAATGTTATTTGATTGTTCATTGAAGACCTGATCATCATCATCCCAGAAGAGTGTTTATATTGAATGATTGATAGAAGGAAATGAATGAAATATTAAATAAATATCTAATAACATCTTGGAATGAAACTGTTTCATGATAATAATAAAGCTCTTGAAACACTTAACATTACTTTTCATTTTCAATCAATTTACACTCAACACCAAGTGAACCAATTTATTGATTAATTTGGTTTCAACTTTGGGCAAATGTGTTGAGAGTCACAAATGGGTTTACAACTGAACATTGCTTATCTGCTGTTGCTGAACATGAGTTATATTGAACAATGAAATTATACTTCATTCAATTTCTAATTCTGTAATTGAATTAGAACTTATTTTTTAAAGGAAAAATCAAAGTTATTTCAATGTCTATATCATGAAAATTTGGGTTCCTTCATGTTTCCTACTTTTGTTTACTTTTTAGTTTTAAGGGAAAACAATTGATTGTGAGTTCTTCATGAAGAGCTTTCATTAATCATTCTGTTTACGCTTTTCACCGAGTTTCTGTTTTCATCATTTTTCTACTTTGTTCTCGGTGAAATTGAACAATTTAATTCCGGAAATTTTTATTCTCTTTCATGACTTTTCTATTTTGAAACAAACGAATTGAAAGGTAAAAGTTTTTATCTTCCAGTTAACCTTAAGATAATAAGTGTACGTCAATTCCGATGAGCGAAAGTTATAATTAACTTGAAACAATGTAATTTTCAATTTCATTAATCGAATATCAAAATTTTCGAATGCAACTTTCACCCGAAAACTAATTATAATTTCATAATTTTCTTGATAACATCAACTGAGAACTTGAATCAAGCGTAGGCTTGGCAAATGTTGAGCATTGAAAAGTTTTCCTGTTGAACTTTGTAAGTTCACAGCAAAATGTGGTCAAAACTAACAATTTATTTCACTAGTGCTAAAGTTCAAAATACCAAATCAAAAATCAGTTTTGACAACCTACTGTGGTCAGGCTAGTTTAACCTGTCTAAAGGTTTCACCCACGAACAACCTAAATATGTCCATAAGTGATGTAAAGAAATGGTCAAAGCATGTTTGGTCAAAAAATATGGAGTAGAGCAGATAAAGATGATCTTGTCGAAATGATAGTAATTTTGTTTTATTTGACATTGGGATTGGGAAAAATATTAATGTGTTATAATAATTGTTCAAAGTTTAGGTTAATGCAAAAATGTTTAATAATTTAAACACAATGTTATTGAAATGTCGATTTCAATGAGCTCAATCTTATTAAAATTTATTTGAACACAAATATTAAGACAATGTCTGCCAAAAAACTGTTGACTAAGCAATTGATCACATTTAGACATGATTCCAATGGCAATTATGGATATTGTCTATGTTAGATGGTAATGACTTACCTGATGTTATTAACCTCGGTGCGGCAAATAACGACGTTTCGTACTATTTGTAAGAGAACGATGGCAATACGGATAAAAATATTGTCTATTTTGCCATATGAGTGCAGTACCACGATACGCGTCAATAAAGTACTTGGAAACTTATTTAAATTGTTTAGACACAACCAGTTGATAAAGACTAGAAGTTTATTGTTACATTTGAAGGCAATTTAAAAAGCTATAACATTTTGTACAATTGAGAACACTTTAAGGTTTCAGAAAACTTTGTCTTTTGTTCAATTGATCAGCCATGAGCTTCAACACTTGGCTTATCATCAGAGTATTTGCTCATCTTTTGACTGACAAAAATGGTCCGAGATCCATTGCGATTGATTGATGAACAATGAGGTTCAATATTTACAGATGAATCGTCCAAAGTTTTACTTCGATTACCAGCATTGATGTTAGTATTCGTCGAACAGTAACAAAAAAGCTTATCCAATGTACTCAGCAAATTGCGGTTGAAAAAGAGGTAAATCCATGGATTAACACAGCTATTAAGGCTTGGAAGGAGCATTGCAATTGTAATTAATGGTCCTGTTCAAATGAAACAACAAAATGAATCAAATTAGTCAAAGAAACGTGAACCAACACAAAACATTGAAAACATTAGCGAAAAGCTTTTGCAAAAATGTTTAGCAAAGCTCCAAAATAATGACAACACAAACTGACTATTAGAACAAAAATGGAACTCGAACATCTTTTCATAGATTTCGATCGACTAATGATGAATAGCTTTGAACATAAGAAGCTCAACTTTTTAAACAAACCAATTTGTTTGAATTACTGACCAAAACAAGACGATTTTGCATTAAATACGAAACTCGTTCAATCCTTTGAAATTGATTTTAAGGTCAAAAATGGCAATTATTTTACAGAAAAAGATTACTTCGACTTTCGAACAATTGATTGCGATTTAAAAGCAAATGCAAAGAAAATCTTTTCCAATTGTTTTTCATTAAATTCAGTTGTTAGCCATTAAAGGTACTCATGCATTAAAATTGTAAATACTGAGAAATACAGAAAATAGAAAATCTTTCAATCATTTAATTGAACATTTGAGTGAACAATTACACTTGGAAAATATTGAAATGTTTTGCATTGAAAGGAATTTGAAGCGATTCGATGAAATAGATTTTATTTTGTCTGCAATTTGTTTACTTTCTGAACCTTTTGTTTTCCTTTGCTACATTCACACGAATCTGTATGATCGATATCCACTTGAATCAATCTGGTAAGCAAAAGATTTTCTGAAGTAAAGCTTTTCTTCTGAAGAAAAATGAGTAAAAAAGTCAAACAACTTGACTATCCTTCCATCAGCGAATATGAGTAAACAAGAAAATCTGTCGTTTCATTTCAAAGAATATCTTTTCAAGGAAAAGCATTCTAAGTAATGGGTTTTGATTTTTCTGGGCAAAGGAATAAAAAAAGCTCAGAGAATTACATTTAGTTTATGGAAAGAAAAAAATGCTTCATGTATCCAAGGAATGCTGCAAAAGATCATGCAACTCATTTTGGTTTTTGTATTTTCGCTGATGGACATTAGCACAGTTGTGCATAACAAAAGCAGAATATCGAGTTAGCAATTGTTCGAGTTAGAACTTAGTTAAAAGTCATTTGTCGAGAATGCTTTCTATGGATTTTAGAGGTTGACAGAAGGTCCAAATCGATTAGAACTTTTTGTAATCTTTAAAAGCTAAAATTCGATATCAATATTTAACTGAAAGCTTTTTGTCTTGAAAGTTCAATGAAACTGAAATAAAAGTTTCATCAATTTCCTTCAGAATCTCGAAACTTTGAAAGCAATTTCTTACTTTTTAATTCATTTTGTTGCGAAGTGATAAAGTCATGAAATGAAAATTTCCGGAATTAAATTGTTTAATTTCACTGGGAAGGAAATAGTAAAGGTGATAAAAAAGAAATTCAATGAAAGCGTAAACTGAGCTATTTATAAACACTTTTTATGAGAAGTTCATATTCTTTTGTTGAGTACCAAGCTAAAACTCGTGTAAACCAAAGGTTTGAATGTAAATGAATTGAAACTTTTATGATAATTATTCTTAAAAATAACTTTTTTTCTTTCCAACCTTTAAATAGAAAACTTTTTCACCTTAAAATCTCATTCATCTTATTTCATCAACCTGAATGCTTGACTAAATTTTCATGACTTATGAAAAGTCTCTAAAGAGTGAGAAAAAACGGAAACGAGTAATGCAAATGATATTCAATGAAAAGATGAGTTTCAATGAAACCATTGTTACAACAAAGCGATTGTCTTACTCGTATTTTTCATGAGCAAATATTCAATTTGATATTGACTTATATTTTGAGATTTAGAATCTGAATGTTGATTCTCTGTTGGAAAATAAAAAATAGAACATTTGTGTGATTAGATTATTCGGATTTGCATGATCTTTATTGGATTGATGTTTCTTGAATCAAGAAAAATCCAAAGTTCATTCTCGAGAAATAGTGTTATTCAATGTCGATTATGCTAACGAAATTTCATATTGAATAGATTATCGACATTTTCAAGTGGTTTTGATAAACAGTTCAACAATGAGACAAAATCTTTTCGATTCAATTTTGTTACCTATTTTGTGTAATTTTTCAGGATGAAAAATGAAGTCATGGTTGGTGACTTTCATTCCAGTGATGAGAAATATAATTACACCAAAATGCTTCAACTATTTTTGAAACAATTAATTAATCGTTTAAAATAGAAACACTTTATGAGGCTAAAAGCTTTGTAGGTTAGCAAATGTTATACAAACAAAAATGTTTCACTCCGAGATGCTTCTTATTAGATATTTGTTTAATATCTTCATTCATTTCATTCTATCAATCATTCAATATAAACACTCTTCTGGGATGATGATGATCAGGTCTTCAATGAACAATCAAATAACATTCAATGAAATTTGTTGTTAGATTAACAATTTTATGAGCCCAATTTTTCTTTTCTTTTAAACTCTTTTAAACTCTTTCAATATTGAAATGTTTTACTTTTCAGGATGAAATAACTGTCAGAAAACGTTATCCATAATTTGAAATGTTTTACTTTTCTTTTATCTGTTTGCGTCAATTCACAATGAAATTATGTAAATCTTTTCCATCTACAGACTTTACTCAGAGTTTCATGATCACCAAAACTTTCTTTATTCTTCTTCTTCACTCCCTGTTAAACATAAATACACAATGTTATATTCAATATTGTAATGTAAAAATTCTGAGTCTTTTTCTTTTTTCAAACTTCTAAAATTGGTGTTCATCAAACAGAATTGAGTTGACACCGGAATCGAGTTTTGCTTCGTTCAACTATCTCTCAATGAGAATGCAAATTTTCTCAAAAATCGACCCTGAGGTCAAACTGTTAGTTAGCTTTGACAGATAATCTGTTTTATCTAGCTGGGAGTAATTTTGAAGAAATTATGAATTCCAAATATATTGAACATATTCATTCAAATGATCAACTTGATAAGATTTATATCATATTAAGGAAATCGATGAAACTTTGATTAGAGTTGCATTGAACTGTCAGAACAAAAAAGTCTGAGTTAATGATAAATATTGAATCTCAGACTTTGTTAATTGAATTTGCGCTTTTCTTATTTATCGCCTTTTCCCTTTCATTTGTCAGTGAATAGCATTAAATTTTTCTAGTTGATTATTGATTAACTGGTCTAGTCACTATTGCTATTATATTTCATATTGAAACATTGAGTCGAAGGAAGGCAAAAAATGTTTGATATAATTGAAGATTGGACACTTTCACTCCCTGACATTATTAAACATTGACAATTGTAAATGACAGCATTTGATAAACTTAACCTCAATCCTTATCAACACCATTTGTGCCTTTCATCGCCCACAATTGACATGTTTAACAGTCTAATAATGAGAATCATTATTTTCACCTTTCATTCATAAATAATTATCGGTCCAACTTCACCAAGCAACTGGGTCATGAAAAGTTTTTTACATCAGCAATTACTTCCTTTTCTCGTCAATTATTTCAAATGAATCCAAGTGATTCAGATGACAAGGAAATGAAATGGAAACTTCTTTTATCAATCGAATAATACAATCTCGAATGAATAGTTAAAAATTGAGCTCATGATCCAATTCACAATCAATTTAAAAGTTCTGATTGTTCCCTCGTGATTTAGTTCATCAAATCAAATGCTAATTTCATGCTCAGCAACTTTCGCTAATCAATTGTAAGAATTTCAGATTCTTCATTTCGAACCGTGAAAACAAGAAAACTTCAAGTTCGACTTGTTCAGTTTCATCTGGAAAATATGAATGAAATTTCATGTTCCAGAGTTGAAATGAGCAACAGTTTTCATCATTTCTTGATTGATTTATTAATGATTACTGAATGAAGAGATTTGATGCTTGAAAGGAAAGATTCACATTCAATTTCCTTTTATCAGAATCTTGTTTATCCATTTTAATAATTCAAGACTAAATCATATTCCCTTCAATTTGAAAGTTATTAAAATGCAATGCATGAGAACAAATGTATTTTTCTTGGAAAAGATGAAAAGAACGAAAAGAAAAAATTTAATCTATTGGAACGAAGAATGTTCAGCTATTCCGTATTCAATGTAATCTTCATTTTACTGACAACTTCATTTCACCAAAAAATTCTGTTTCAATGGAAAAGAAAGGAATGAAGGAAATGATGAAGCGATGACAATATTTCAATGTTGTTGGTTTTCATAGAACTCATTTTTTAAAAGGAGCTCGATACCAAAAAAGAACCTTCAAATGTCTTCTTTAGATCAAATAAACGCCTAACTTAATCTTATTGGGACTTCGACTAATGGTCCTTCATTCCAGAGCAGTTCGAGTATTCGCAAGTTGACAGAATCGAAACGTAAATGAGTTTCAAGTGTAAAAGCGTTTAGTAATTAAACTTAAATTAATGACTTTGGTAGAGCCTCAAGTGACATATGAAATTGAGTGGATCAAGAGGTATCATAATTAATGGATTCAAGTTTCATGATGAAAGTGACACAGAATAAATAGAAATGGTGAATAAAAAAACATTGATTATTGGATGGCAACAAAAGTAGGAAAAGTGATCATGAGAATTGGCTCATGTTGGAACAACAAGTTAATCTGAGTAAATAAAGAGATCATTTTGTTGACCATTGAATGCCTCAGGTTTGACTGGTATTCAATCAATTCTGAGTAAGTTTATGAAGAAGCAATAGTAATAGAGCTTCATGGAAAAGATTAACTCATTTGAAGCTAGAGATGAGAGTCAAGATTTGTGTCCATAAAGACTGCGATCTGATTCAATATTAACTTTCATTTGCTCAACCTTCAGGCCAAAGTCTCATGAAATTGGATATTATTCAATAGACCTTTCATTAATATTGGAAAACATTTTGTTGCAAACACACCTGTAACATTGTTTCATATAACAGAATGATCAGTTGTCTGCTCATCCAACCATTTTCATGCTGAATCTATAATATTTTCATGCGAACAACTTTTGCTTTTCATTAATTGAATGAATAAATGAATCAAGAGCTACTTTTCTTTAGCATTTCAAGTTGAAGGTTGTGATCCAATGATATCTACAACTCATATTACCCTTGTTATGTTTTTAATTGTCAGAAAGTTACTCATTAAAAAGTTACAATTCGTGATCTTTATGATGGAAACGATTCCGAAATTATTTCTTTTTCTTGTTAATAGATGACTATCAACTTTGCTTGTAAATTGTCGAGATGATCAATCAAAGTTCAAAAAGTGAAAGATTCATGAATGGACGAACACCTTATTCACTTGTTTGTTTCACGATGTATCAATCAACTGTCTGGTTTTGTCACAATTTATCACAAACATTGCATTTCGAGTTTACATTCATAAATGTAAAAACGTTTTTATCGTTTTTCAATACAAATTTCATTACGAACTGTCACCTAAAGTTAGGTTAATCAACTGTTTAGAACTTTTTATGAATTTCTGCAAATTCGACTGATAATTTTCTGCTAATTTGCCATATTTTTCAATCAAAAGTCAATGTTGGTTAATTTTGAGACGCACTTTATTATTAATAAAACGTAATATGATTTCATGTTATATGATACAATAAATATTAATAATAATTTAGAATCGAAATCCCTTTTCAGTTCTAATTCTGAAGAATTGATTTAAACCATTTTTTTCTCTGTTATCATGGAGTTCCAGGAAGTTGTTTCTGAAAATTGATGAAATGTTTTTGTTTCTTTTTCTCATTTTGATTGTCATTCCTTCTGTAATTAGCTTTTCAAGTAATAACTTTGCTACTTCCCATTCAGTCTGATTTTTTTAATGTTGATTGAAAGATACAACATGGTAATAACATTTGATTAATGCAAAGTGGAAATGTGGATGCAATAATCTTGTAAATGAGTCCCAAACCTAATAAAAAGTTATACGTTAATCTGGAGGAAGATTCAAGCTTCGGCTTCAAGTTGTTTTCAATTGAGATTCAAGTCAATCATGAGCTTATTAATCATTTTCATTATAACTCAATGTTACTTGATTGTGGCATTTCAAAATATCAATGATCAGTTGATTGATGATCAATTCAACACAAAATACAAACAAACTCTATCATCGCTTTCAAATGTTTTTCTAACATTTGTTTTCATTTCCTATTAATAGTTGAAGCCATTTTAAAAAGTAAAAGAACGTAATCGAAAAAAAGGAAGCTCTTCATGAAAACAATGAAGATCAACTTATCAGTTCCTTGCGATCTCTTTTCTTACCTTAGAGAAATGGTTCTTATTACATTGAAAGTTTATTTATTTTCATGAAACTTTTGGTATATTCAGAGGAAGATTGACCAAAGAAAAGACAGTATTCAGACATAGAGAACTAGTTCCATAGTCCCAAGTTATCTCCGAAGACAACTGCTATTCGAACGAAAAAATTGTCTTATTACAACTAATTGTCAAATTGGAAAAAATCATTGAAGAACAACTCAGTGAGATTTTAATGAGATTTCCATTTCTCTCAGAACTGTTCTGTTGATCCCATCTCATTGTTTTCGAGAAAAACTTTCTTCTTTTAGATTACATTCGTTTTCAATAACTGTAAGTCTGTTTCAGTTTATTAGCTAACAAAATAAATAGAAACATGAATATCTCCATGAATAGCTTTCTTCATTTTGGAAGAGGTCCAGATCTTCTCGTTAAATATCTTGGACAATCGAACTGGACATTGTTAAAGTAAAGCGCATTTTACATTTGGATGAAACTGAAAATTCTGGTTTCATATCTATTATGAGTTATCGTATTTTGATTGGTTTCAATTTGAAAAAGGTTGTTATACATTTATTTAGTTACTATTGCGTTGGAGTAAACTTGCTGATTCGTGATCCACAGATAAATCAAACAGATCATTCGAACACTTTGTAACTCTTTTTACAATTTTGATAATAATGATTTCCAAAGTTGTTGGAACCCATGAAGCATCATTCAGATGAAAAAAAGTTCATTCAATGAATTCATTTTTTCTTTTTTCTCTCTTGTTAAAATGAAATAAATTTTTACAGTCAATTTTCCACATGTTAAAAGAGTGACAATGAACAGAGATAAAAAGTGAATGATGAGTTTCATGGAAATTTTTTTATCTCAATTGGCGATGAATAATGATAATAAAATTCATAGAGTTATTGATACTAATTTAGATTATCGTTGGTAAAATAACTTTTCACTGTTAAAGTATCACAGCATTCATGCATCAACTTGTGATCTATCAAAGTTATTGTCAAATTTTCTTTTCTCTATCATGATTATTATTGAAATTGAGTCGAGTTTTTTTTCTCCTTCTGTAAAATGCTAAAATTTCGATTGAATGGATTTCAATTTCTCATGATTATAATAGTAATGAAACGCAAACATCCGTAGATAAAGTAATACTTTTTCATTTGACATGAGACGAAAAGTTATTCAAATTTAGCTTTTCATTGTTTACGTGTTTATTCAGTGATTCTTGAATGTCATGAACAGAGACGAAAAAAGTTCAAGTTTCGATAAAGAACGAAACGAGAGAGAGAGAGAGAGAGAGCGAGAGAAAAAAAATGATTGTTCAATATTTATTCAGTCTCAATTTACGTTGACTTGGGCCCAATATTTGGACACTTGAAAAGTTCAATTGGATGAAATTGGTTGAAACTTTTGGTTTTATATTACAATCTTTCAAAATGACAGTCAAGGATAATCTTTGTAACAACTCGATCGATCCATAATTTGCTAATCAACTAATTGGTTCAGCGATATATTATCTAATTACTCATGGGAAGGTTGAATTATTGAACAGTTACTCCATGTAAACATTTAACAATAATAATGGATATTGAATCATAAGTTAAAATAATAGAGCGAAGCATCCATTGGATTCTCAACCTAGAGGTAAAGCCTCGTCCGGTTCAACAGAGACAAGAGTCAGACCCTATTTGGATCCCATATTTGGATCAATGAATAGACGGAAGCATCCATTGGATTCCCAGCTAGAGTTAGGTCGTCCGCTTCTTACACTAGAGGACAGAGACAAGGGTCAGGGTCTCACTTAGTTACAGTATATTCAATGCTCAAGATGCTTCAAGATGATAAAGCGAAGCATCCATTGGATTCCCAACCTAGAGGTGAAGCTTCTTTCGGTTCAACAGAGACAAGAAGCAGACCCTCTTACGGTCTCAGCCTAACTGACTTAACTCATATTCAAGTTTCTTCAAATAACCAAAGTTATAAGTCGAAATTCCCTGTCAGATTTACTCTAGATTTCTGGTTAATCTGGTGATTGATACATCTTCATCATAATTGAATATCATTTATTAGTAAAAAGTTTTGAAAATTTCAACTGAAGAAAAAAATTTGCAAAGTTCGAGGAATAATCAATCATTAAGTTTTGCTTTTTTTTGGTTGGGAATGAATATCAATGAACATTGAATTGTATGTTAATGGGTTTTTTATTTCATCGGTACTTATGTTGTAAACCTTTAAGGATCAGAAGAACTGGGAAGTTTCTGACTTTCAATTGAAGTTGTCTTTGAACACTTTTATTGATATTAACTGAAGTGATAAAATGATTGCACAACATCAATATTAGCCTGTTATATTCAGACCAGAACTGTTCAATTTGATAAAAGATTTAAGTGAATTTACGTGTATTTCATCAAGTAGAGGATATTGTTAGGATGTTGATGTATTGATAAATAATTAGACTGATTATTCTATTGGCTATAAATAGCAACTTTAGGCCATTTCATGTTTTACGCAATTTATTATTTGATTACAAATTAAAGGTCATCAACATGATATATTCCAGGCTAATATTGAGGTCTAATAAAAGTATTAACATGCTAACCATTTGGCTTCTTGATAATTTCATTGTCATTCATGAAGGTATTTGTTAAACCCTCTTCTCATCTGCAGATCTATTGTCAATCATGATGCTCATCATGATGACTTTTTTCAGGCTCTCATGTTGCTTCATATGATTGATTTGATTATCTATTAGATAAAGATAAATCCCTGAAAGTGCGAGTAAGGGAAGAAAAACTTAAAGGATAAGATGCACTTTGAAAGATTCTGATAAGTAATGGTGATAACGATCATGATGAGGAGGAAAAAGAAGAATAAGAATGAGAATTTGGAGAAAGGGAAGAAAAAGTAAAAAAGAGAAAAGGATAAAAGAAATTCCTTTTTCTTTTCGTTTCATGATGATCAGGATGTGGCTGGTTCCGATAGAAATGAAAGCTAAAAAGGATTCGCTAATTGATTACAGAAAATTGATGAGGATTCATCAGATCAAAATTGATTAATGAATCGCGTTAATTTGAGAAAAGCTTGATAGACAATCATTAACTATTGTTTAATTGCCATTTATTACAAGCGATTATCAATTTTACAAAACATTATCAGATAAACAAGTTCTGCACGAACTTTTTACAACTCTGAAAATTCTTCGAACAATTCAGTCTCATTCAAATATTTTTATCATCACATAATCAGACCTTAATGAACTTAAATTGATGATAAAATGTAGACCAGAGATGCTTCATGTCATCATGAACAACAAACACCCGTTTTATAAATATTTTAGACTATCATTGGCTGAGATCTAGTCTGAAGAAAATCTGATGGAATAATATTCGGGATAAAGTTGAGTGGAAGTTACCTTAGATAAGAAAGGTTCATCATATAATATTCAGTGAACTATTGAAAGAATGCAAAATTGTGAGATGTGAGAACAAGTTGTTGGCTTGAATGAGTTTTCAATTTTCGTGAATCGCTTGAATTTGCTGAATCGGAACTTTTTTTTCTTACCTCGCCATAATGAACTTTCTTGAGCTCCTGGTGCCCAATAGGCCCATATTTGGACGACATTAAACGGCGATGAACAGCAAATGTAACAAATTATTATTGTAACTGTTAGTTTAACTGTTTTAATCTTTGCCTTTGAGAAGTAGGCTGTACTGTGACTTCGAGGTGTACATTGATCGTTATTGGATGAGGTTCGTCTAGTTGAGGTTGCTGTTGACGAGAGTGACGATATTGGTGGCACTAAAGAGGCTGACATGATTTTCATTGAATTGGGTATCATTGGAGATGAAGACGAAGATGATAAAGATGATGTGTTTATTAATTTTCCATTTGATTCCATTTTATTTTGTTGAGTTGAATCATGCTCATGATAAATATTATCACTAAAACTATTCATTTTTAAATTATTATTAATAATATTTCTATTGCTATCACCGTCTTCAGTTTCATTTTTATTAAAATTTACATCAACTTGCGTATTACTGGTCATTTTACGCCTTGCTTTGATCCTATTGAACGGGAAACTCAATTTATTCAGAAAATGAATCGACTCTGATTTGGTTGATGAAGTTGGTAATGAATACTCGAAGCTGTTATCAGTCAACAGTTTACGATTAACTGTATTGTTGTTTAAAACTCTTAGAGAGTCAGCAGTTATTGAATCCAAGCTAACTTGGTTCAACAAGGATTGACGTTGAGTTGGGTCATTGGTGACTTGAGTTGATGTTAAGGTTGGAGTTGTAAGTGAGGTTGTCAGCGAGACTGTTGCTGGTATCATGTTTCCCTTAAGCGTCAGCATTTTGGGCTGATTGTTGGTAATACTAGAAGCTAGACGGGACGATTGACTTAGGTTGGCTTTCTTGATGCGCCTTCCGTTGCGCCAAAGCTCGAGACAAATGTTGGAAAAGGTGAAAATGAGTATCACAAAGGGAATGAAAAATGAAGTCAAAGCGTACCAAGTAACGTACAATCGTTCACCATAAGGTTGAATAAAAGTACCCCAACACTCGTAGACTCCTGGACTGTTTGGTATTTGACGATAAGAAAAGATGAACAACTGTGGAAGGCAACAGATCAAGGCTAATCCCCAAGCAATGGAAACTTTAAGTTTGGACCGATTAAGAGCGGACCGTGACTCGAGTGGAAAACATATGGCTCGATATCGATCGATAGCAGTTGCACATAAGGTAAAAGAGGATAAATAAGGTCCTAATATTTGAAGGTATTTTATTCCTTTACAGAGCACATTGCCACCATAGAATCGTTCAGTGATTTCCCAGATCAACTGAGGAAGAACATTGGCAAATGCTGTAATCAGATCGGCAATTGATAAATGAAGAAGGAAAAAGTACATTCGACGAAGCTTGATTCGACTGAGAATAAGTGCGAGAAGAACTGAAGTATTTCCGAAAACAATCATTACGAATATCGCCGATAAAGTGATAATTTCGAGAATGGCCAAGTTCTCATCTCTCGAATGGGCACTCGAAGAGGATAAAGAAGAGGCCGACGGTGAACCAGTCGATACAGCCTTGAGATAACGTGACGAAGTAAGGTTAACATCGAAAGGTAAAACAAGTGAAGGTAAAGTTGAGCTCGTTTCGTTAGTCGAGAAAACCGATAAAGTTGAAAATTCTAATGAACCGAATGATGACAAATCCATTTTTTGGCAAACAAAACAACACTATTTATCCAAATTGAATGATGAATTCATCATGAAGAAACGGAATTTTAATGAAACTCTAAATGATAAATTGTACTAATTTGAACATTTCAATGCATTGCTATAAAACGATATCAAACTGACACTTGTAGAGTTGAATTCTTAGGATCTAATGTTTCATGTAGAGAAACAGAATGCAGGAAAAAGTGAAGATAATTTTTCTCTTTCAGTTGAACTAATATGATAATTGATGCAGGGTTACTATTAACTAGTTTCATGATAACATTGAAACTCAAATAATTCATTGATGCTCACCATGAAGAAGTTCACTTCACACAAACAAACTCTTTACTGATTATACAAAGACTAACTCATTTCCTTCACATCTTTTCATCTTGCACAGTTTATCATCACGCAAGTTCCAGAAGAAATATTAGATGAGAAGAAAAAAATGATTCACAGAAATTCAGTTTCGAGTTTTCTCAACCTTATCCTCATCATCCTCACTTTTATCCAATCGATCGTCGAGGTAAAAGTGTGGGTGAAACTAATTTGTGGTCAAACCGTTTTGTTTCACGAGAAACACATTAGTTGCTCGAAAATTGTTCAATTTTTCATTCAAATAAATTCGATTCTAAATCTTCTGAAAATTTCTTCAAACTCATGTTGAGACAAATTCATATGCAAATGCTTTGCTAGATAAATTGCTGGAATGTTTCATCTTCGAGAAAAAAACACGAAAAATTGTGAAAAGTTAACTCACAATAAAAGCCTTTGTAAAATAATAATTAGACCAACTGCTTTTTACTCGTTTAACTTTGCCTGAGTAACTCTGTTAATATCATTAGAAGTAATTTTCTTGGTTAAGTTAACAAAAGTGTTTCATTGACTTGGCAAGATGATCTTGAATGGAGACAAAAGGATGAAGATGATTTGGCGATGAAAAGACTAGGCATTCACAGACTTTGATCACCTTAATTTTCAACTTGAACTCTAAAGAAACAGGACTGAAGCCAAGTTTTGTTCATTTGTTTGTTCAATCAAAAGATAACCTTGTATCAATACATCAATATTTGCTTTATTTTTGGCTTTGTTAAGATCAAGTTCATTTAAAGGATAAATAAAACTGCAATAAAACCTTACAAAACCTTGTTTAAACTTTTATAATTGTGACCAAAATCAACTCAAGTTTACACGAAAAAAGACGTAAAATGAAGTGAAACAGTTTGTCCAAAAAGATGAAATTAAATTTTCGAACCTCAACCGAGATTTGCTCTTCGATCTTCAAACGAACACTAATCAACTCTGAAAATTTTGTTCTAAAAAACTCTATTTAAACAATCGATCATCAATCAAGAAAGTTTGAAAATTTCTTCGAAAAGACACAGAAAAGGTTTAAAATCGAAAAATCGAATCTCAAGAACGATTCTTCGAGACGAAATTTAGTCAAAGACTATTCGGTATCGGCAGTTGGTTCAGTTCTTCTTCTTTTCTTGTTCAAGTAACTGTTCAACGAACAAGTTTATATGAGGAACTTGCTTAAAGTTTGTGTTTTTTCAACCTTCAATGAAACCGAATCAAATTAAACAAAAGAATTAATTAAGTTAATCTGATTAACTCATTAAAATGATTTCGCGATCCAATTGAGACGTGACTTGACAAATTAAAAAGAATCTATTTTATTGTTTTAATTGAATTAAGAAAAGAAATTATTATGACTCGAAGACAATGGAAAGTCAATTGTAATAAGATTATCATTGGAAATTAAGTCAAGATTAAGTGAAACCAGGCAAAGGTAATAAGCAAAGTTTAACCCAAAAAACTAACCGCTTCCAGCTGAATGGATCTCAGTCAATTCGAGTCTATTTATTGACATTAACATAAGAGTTGAGCTTCAATCAAATGTTTCCTCATCTTTTATTGTAAACCAAAATTCAATCTCAATAATTCAATGGATTTCAGGTTTAGAAAGAAACGACAGAAACTCGAAAACTTTTGCAATCGAAATGACCCTCGATTGGTTACATTTCACCGAGTATATTGTTGCTTTCCATGGAAGAAGAAATTTAATGAATTCACTCGATGATAATTGGAATAACAAATTAATCAAAGTTTATCTTTTCTCATTTTCTGTTGGCAAAAGTTCAACGAAGCAAAATTGAATTACTTTTCCGGTGTCAACTCAATTCTTTTTGGATGAACAAGAATTTCGGAAACTTTGAAGGCAAGGAAAAGAAAAGACTGAGAATTTTCTCAGGCTCTTCATTATGGAACATAAAAGTGTATAAATATATTTACGTTTAACAGGGAGTGAAGAAGAAGGTAAGAATTTTGATCAAGATGAAAATGCTCAGTAAAGTCTTTAGTTTGGAGAAGAAAAAATTTCCATAATTTCATTGTGAATCGACAGAAAAAAGATGAGAATATTTCATTTCAAACACAGTTGACAACATTTCTGACAACCTTATATTGAAATGTGAAGCAATAGTTTCAAAAATCTAGAGAAAAAGAAAATTCCAAGTTTGTCAGAAAAAATTATTGTTGATCAAAGTTTACCTTGAAATGAACTTTGTTTTGATTACTCATTTCAAACCTCATTATCATCATCCTGGAGAAGTGTTTATATTGAATGATTGATAGAAGGAAATGAATGAAAACATTAAATAAATATCTAATAAGAAACATCTTTATTGCAATGAAACTGTTTCTGTTTTCATAATAATAATGATAAAGCTCTTGAAACACTTAACATTACTTTTCATTTTCAATCAATTTACACACTCAACCAAGTGAACCAATTTATTGATTAAGTTTAATTTCAGCCAAAATGACTTTCAATTCTTGGTTCAGAAGTGTGAATTTCTAGATTTTCCAATAGCCATGAAATGAAATGTCTGAACAATTCGGTGTGTCTTGTGATTCGACCCTGAAAATTAATACCCTAATCCAAGCTCAATCATTTTATTATTCATAGATTGACCATCAGATCAACCAAAACAGATCAGGTTTGCGCTCAAAACCGAGAAGGACAAAATAGCGAAAGCAAAATAGAGAAAGTCAAATCCGCGAAAAATATCGATACACATAGTGCTGTATAAAAGCAAAAATTTTCATTGTCGTTTTTTGACCAATTCGTAATTAGCCATGATTCAGGAAACGATTTGACTGATATAGATTTGAATGAAAGAATCGTAAAAATTGCAAACTAAATGAAATAGTTCAGCCAACTCAGTTTATGACAATCAAAGCATTGTGTTTAACTATAAAAATAAAACTTTAATCAGTTTAATTATTTAGCTGCTTATTTTTACCCTATTTTGCTTTCGCTGTTTTGACCCTTTACCTTTGAATGTAGCCTTCGTGTTGTGTCTTCATCACTCCCAGGGTCAATTAACTTGGCAATTTGTTTTGTTCTAAAGTCTCACAAAGAATTGGTTCACCATTGGACCTGATTTTATCGACTGGAAAATTGGATTGGATTTTTTTTGTACAAAAAAATCATTTGATTGGTTGCAATAAGGTCGGACGAAAAAAAGTCAAAATAAAAGTGAAGATTACAAAATTTTTTATCTGAAAATAGGAAAACCCATTGATAGCGATGGAAAATGAAGAAAAAATCTTGTCCGCCAAATCAACATTCATTAACCACGATGGGGTAAATAAAGACGACACTCTAGAGGGCCCGCGACGCAAACACAAGGTGCATATAAGTGTTGTCTTATATTGTAACCGGTCAGCAGTTGCTTGTATTCATCGCTAGCTGAAGTAAATTGGACAGGAAGTTGAGCTTTGATTTTCTTTTGTAATTCCAAGTTTGTAACTATTCTTATCATCTTGTCCAAGACAGCTCTGGTATTTGTGTGTTGACACCATAATACACTACATTCATTACCATGGGAATCGTTTGAACCAATTAGGTCAACAGCAAAATCAAAAAGCTGATCTTGATCTCCACAGATACGTACACAAATACGAAGAGTAAAGCAATCGCCATCATTAAATTGACTTCTACATTTTTCTGTATTTCTTTCGTTTTTATCAAAAACGGTTGGAGGTCTGGTGAATCTATTTAAGCAAGTTATTAGCGATTATTAATATTAGCGATAAGTATTGTATTAAAATATTTAATATGAACATTTACCTCCATGAGTAATCTGTATTTTCCAGCCAAAAAGGCATAGTGAAATTATTCTTGCTAATGTAGCTGTTTCTTATATAAAAAATAGGTATTCCGGTGTAGGCCGCAAGCTATAATATAAATATAAATATAAGCCGTGATATAGCATTTTAGCATATTAATAAATAGCAGAATGATATTTGAATAAAGGAATAATCATTCTTTTAATCTTACCTGTTTATATAGTTGTTGATGGTATTCACAGGTTTCATCCGTCCAGTCAATAACAATGTCATGATAATCTTCACCACTCAACTTAACTTTTATAGTTATTTTGTTTTCACTCATTTTAGATGAAACTACTATTGATTGCTAGGCAAATATGTCCGATGAAATTTAATAAGATGATAAAGACTATGCAAAAATATAGTGTTCAAGATGGAAGCTTGAAAATATATAAACTCACAAAAACGTGGTCAAAGCCAATCTTTTGTTTAGGTCAATATTTACTACAAACGTTAACATGTTAACCAAAATGGTGGCTCAAAAACAAGTTTGGATAGCTTTGATCGTTCTTCTTGACTTTTTAAACCAAGTTGTCCCTATGGTGGTAATTTCATAGCAGCTAGTTCATCTTTTTCCCATGCTCCAAAGATTGGAAGACCAAATCAAGATCAAGAAATGAATTTCGTTCAAATAAGTGATACATTGAGCTGGTATTCTTGGAGACAATTGAGATTAGCCTTCCTTTTGCACCATTGGAATGAAACATGATTATAACGATAAAACAATAAAAGCGGCATTATACTCCGAAGCCAAACTTAATGTTGACTCTGACTGTCCATTCTTGATTGAGTGTTCAGATGTGATACTTTCGATCATGTAATGATTAATCACTCAGCGATCTGATCACTTCTACTCATTGATTTTTCAATTTGAATTCGAAAAGAACGTAAAAATTGTAAAATTTGCAAATGAAAATAAACGAAAGAACAGCAAAATGTGAACTTTCAGACAGAAATGCGTTCTAATCTTGAACTAATGCCGAATTTCATTGATTCAATTTCCGTTCAATTTTTAATTTTAGAGCTTACAACTTTGAGAATGAATTTAAGAATAGTAAAATTGCTCAAAATATTAGAAACAGATTAAAAGCAATTTTTCCAGTTTTCTTTGTTTTTTTCACTTTCCTGTTTACTCATGAACAAAAAAGTATATTAATTGATGTTTAGTTTTGTTGGATTAAAAGTCAATTATCATAGAAATATTTTATTATTCAATTTGAATAGCATTTAATTGCTTATTTTTTGTAACAAATAATGAAAAGTTTCTCAAACAATCGGAATTTCCATTTGTATCATTTTCTGTTTCCGTTTTTTCTCTTTTCATTTGATTCTCTCATCGTAAAATCATGCAAATTAATGAAATTTTTTGTCAAATAGATAAATTGGTGAATTTATAACAATGACAATGAGAGTTTGCAATGCAAAGAAAGGGTTAAAAAGTTTATTCAAAATTTGGAGATGAAAGTCTAAATTATTGTTGCATCTCTCGAGACTTTTTCCTTACCAACATCGTCAATAGTTATATTTGAATGTCATTCAGCGGGAAGTTTAAGTTGAACCGTAAGGTGAGTGTGATGGCGAAAGAAATTTACAGCGCTGTTTGGGTCGAAAAATCCAAAAATTTCATTCACAATATGAAGAAATTCTTTATATTATCGTTCATTCTTAAAAGGACAAAATTTGATTGATTTTACACCGAATTAACCAAATTAGCCACAATCAAAATGGAAGTGAAAAAAATTAGCAAAACTTGTATGCATTTTCCGGTTAGTTATTCACGTCTTTCAAGCAAAAATTCATTGCAATATAATTATCTATTAAAGATAAAACTGATTATACAATTAACTAACAACAATTTTTTTCTTGATCCGTGCCTTTAAAGGTATTTTTCATTAAAAAGTAAAAGATAAAATGAGAAAAGATAATCAAATAATGAATTTCATTGTAATTAGCACATGTACATTGACAGATTAGAGAGGAAAAGAGTTTTTTACCAAATTATTGATTCCATTGAAAGCGAATGGACTTAATTATATGTTCGTTTCTGTTTTTTCACCAAATGAGATGGAAAAAGCTCCTTAATCCCGGTCATGTTCAACCAGATAAAAATCCATCCTGTTTCCATTGAGCCATCCTTTGGTGAAAGTGATATCTCTTGGTGTTGGCTCGATTCCTGAAGAGCGTATAATCACGAGGCGTGAAGCTTGGCGGCCAGGGAACAGGTCTCTGATTTGTTCAAGGAGCTCGTCGCTTTTATCTAAGCTAATATGGACTGCTCCATGCGCTGCTGCCATGGACTGCTGAACTGCTAGGTTTAGAGCATTGTGCTAAGTTGGAACGCTCAAGGTTATTCAAGGTCAATTCTTTATTTGACCTCTAGTTGACATGAACATGTGGCTAACATAATCGAGTCAGAAAATAACCTTCCAATGTCAATTAGAGGTCAAATGAGGAATTGGCCTTGAATAACCTTGATCGTTCCAACAAAAAGTATTTTGTATTGAATTTCTTATTATACCTTAATTCCTTGTTCGCCCATATTAATAATTCAATATCAAAATCAATATATTACAAGTTATTGAGTAGGAATTTCATGAGAAAAAAGTTTTTTAAATAAGGTGGAGAATGAAATGAAAAGAAAAGAGTCAATCTAATGGAACGAAAATGTTCATTCTGTTATTTCATTTCAATGTAATCTTTATTTTATCTTGAATGAATTGTATGGAAGCAAGAAAGGAATGAAAAAATGATAGACACAAATGATAAAAGCGTTTCATTTTAAGGGTTATTACGATAAACATCTATTATATTTGTGAGTTATCGAGCTCAGATTACCAAACTCGAATCGGAATCTAAATGTTTTTTGCTCATCAAACTGCCAATGGAAATACAAGCTTCTCTGCTAATTTGAATATAATCCGTCTCCTTTCTCTGAAACTCAGCATTTAGTGCACAGATTAACCTCAAAGTTTGACGTGAAGTAAAAGCTCAGTTTAATCAACAACTAAAATAAATGTAAATCAAAGCATCTTTGTACGGCATCTGAAGTGCATTGCATCCCGATAGATTAAAAGTCAATTTGCACTCATGAGCATTTTTACTCATTAAACTTAATTATCATTCCAAAATTTCTTTTGCACATAACATGAACCTTGTTTGAGAGCCCCAAGTGGCATATGAAATTGAGTTGATCAAGAGGTAAGTGTCATAATTAATGGATTCAAGTTTCATGATAAAATAAATGCAGGATAAATAGAAATACTGAATAAAAAAACGTTGATTATTGGATGGCAACAAAAGTAGGAAAAGTGATCATGAGAATTGGCTCATGTTGGAACAACAAGTTAATCTGAGTAAATAAAGAGATCATTTTGTTGACCATTGAATGCCTCAGGTTTGACTGGTATTCAATCAATTCTGAGTAAGTTTATGAAGAAGCAATAGTAATAGAGCTTCATGGAAAAGATTAACTCATTTGAAGTTGGAGATGAGAGTCAAGATTTGTGTCCATAAAGACTGCGATCTGATTCAATATTAACTTTCATTTGCTCAACCTTCAGGCCAAAGTCTCATGAAATTGGATATTATTCAATAGACCTTCCATTAATATTGGCAAACATTTTGTTTCATTTATTCGATAACAGTAATAATCTCACACCTGTAACATTGTTACACATCACTCCAACAGAATGAATAACAGATCACAGTTAACTAACATGAATGATCTGCATTGATGATTCCAAATGCTTTTCTACCTACATGATATAATAATGCATTACTACTGAACTTTGCTGTTTGAATGAAACAAAAGCAACCTTTCTTCAGCTTGTCATCGTCATTGTTTTGACTCGATTGAATGCAGTTGATAGTCCAGAATCCATGATTTCTAAATAAATTAGATTACCCTCGTTATCTTTACTCGATGGAAGAGTTACATTTCATGATCTTTTCATCATGGAGATACTAACATCTTATTGGTCAAGTTCGTATATTTTTTAGTGATACAGCATGTAGTTACTGCGTTATGAGAACGATCTGTGTAAAGACTTTTGCTTGAGAGAGTTGTGAGAGTGACAATGAACAGAGATAAAAAGGGAATGATGAGTTTCATGGAATTTTTTTTATCTCAATTGGCGATTAATAATGATAATAAAATTCATAGAGTTATTGATACTAATTTAGATTATCGTTGGTAAAATAACTTTTCACTGATAAAGTATCACAGCATTCATGCATCAACTTGTGATCTATCAAAGTTATTGTCAAACCTTCTTTTCTCTATCATGATTATTATCATTGAAATTGAGTTGAGTCAATTTTTTTCTTATTCTTGAAAATGCTAAAATGGATTTCAAATCGTCATGATTATAATATTAATGAAACGCAAACATCCGTAGATAAAGTAATACTTTTTCATTTTACGCCAGACACAAAGTTATTCAAATTTAACTTTTCACTATTTACGTGTTTATTCAATGAAATGTTCAAGTTTGCATGAAGAAAGAAACGAGAAAGAAAAGAAATGCTTGTTCAATATTTATTCAGTCTCAATTTACGTTGACTTGGTCCCAATATTTGGACACTTGAAAAGTTCAATTGGATGAAATTGGTTGAAACTTTTGGTTTTATATTACAATCTTTCAAATGACATTCAAGAATCATCTTTTTGTAACAACTCGATCGATCCATAATTTGCTAATCAACTAATTGGTTCAGCGATTTATTGAATTATTCAACAGTTATTCCATGTAAACATTTACAATAATAATTGATATTGTATCATAAGCCAAGACAATGAATAGATGGAGCATCCATTGGATTCCCAGCTAGAGGTAGAGAATCGTCCGCTTCTTAAATTAGAGAACAGAGACAATTTCTTAGCTTCATACGAACATCGAAACAAATTATTTTTGATAATGCTAACCATGAAGATACTCACTTCACACAAACTCTATACTGATTACTCAAAGACTAACTCCTTCACAACTTTCCATCTTGCACAGCTTTATCATCACGCAAGTTCCAGAAGAAATATTAAATGAGTAGAAAAACGATTCAGAAAATTTGGTTGCGAGTTTTCTCAACCTTTTTCTCATCATCTTCATAAGACTTTTCTTGATGCGATCGATTGTCAAGGTAAAAGTGTGGATGCTAAATTGTGGTCAAACCGTCTTGTTTTACGAGAATTACATTATTTGTATCTGAATTATTCAATTTTCCATTAAATGAATTTCAAGTCAAACTAAATCTTTTTCAGTGAAATTTCTTCAAACCCATGTTTTTGAGACAATGTAATTCATATGCAAATGCTTTACTGAAAAATGTTTCAACTCAGAAAAAAACAAAAAATTCGTTGAAAGTTTACTTGACTCACAATAGGAGGTTTTGGGAAATATTAATAATAATTAGACTGCTTTTACTCTCTTTTATTTTACCCATATTTGAAAAGAGTGATAAATTTTACCCTTTTACTACAGACCTCAGATGCAATCCATAGCTTCCGCAGATTGAATAACCATAAGTTTCGAACGATTCAGATCATTCAAGGTCAATTCTTCATTTGACCTCTAGCTGACGGTATAAATTACTATCGCAATATAACGACGTTTTTTTCATTTTACACCTTTATCTAATCATAACTCACGTTAGTGTTATATACCTCAGAATTGAACCATGAGATTATGCAGATTGCACAACACTAAATTGGCACGCTCAAGGCTATTCAGGTCAATCCTTTAACCAACCTCTAATTGACATTAGACAGTTCTTTTCTGAAATCGCACAATTTTTCTGACCAGATTATGTTAGTCACATGTTCATAACTTATACTGGCTAAAGGATATGAGTGATTGGATACCATCCAGTTAAAAAATCGCATTTGACAAAAATTCATTTATCTTTCCAGTGTTAAGAGATATGAACGCGACTAACCGGGTCAGAACAATTCCCCAATGTTAGAAAATGACCTTACTATGTCAATACAAAGTGCAAGAAAGAATTGATCTTGAATAACCTTGCGCGTTCGAACTAATAGTTTTCAATCCGCATGAGCATACTATCCAAGTCTTAGGTCTGTAGCACTACCGTTCGCAAGTTATTCCTGCATGAAGGCGTAAAATGCAAAAAACGCCCGGTGTTTGAGCTGATCGATTTGCTGAAAACTAATACTGGTAACTCATAGAATTCCAAATCAGATGCATCTACGGCAGCAAAAACAACACGTTGAGTGACGGCTTGAAGAAGGGCGTTTCGATCACAATATCACTGTATGATGAAATTAAAGCACCTCTTTTGGAAGCTGAGTATTTGCATTTTTCGCTGTATAGCTGCCAAGACTCGCAAAAGCCTTGATATTTGACTTCAGTTTCAATACCTTGACAGTTAGATACAGATACAGTAATGCAGTTACAAGCCAACTGCAGCTTGAATTTGTAATGTTTTGTTGACATTGTGGATAATACAGGGCTATTCAGCTATCTTTACAGATGTTAAACGGCTATATCTTGTCCTGTGATTAACCTTGAGGCCTCAGATTTTTTATGAGAAAATTCCGCGGATACTTATTTGCTATATTTCAAGGTCAAAGTCATTCAAGGTCATTTGTCGGAAATCGCTCCTAACAATATTAGAGGTCAAACTAAGGTCACATGATAATTTTAAACTCTAATAATCGTGCTGGTTCAGTTGCGTCACTCTTACATACCTACATACGAAAATCTGTTGAGAATTAGCACGGGTTGAATTTATTTCAACGCGAACGATGATATTCAGAATTAACAAAAACTCTAAAAGTGTTTCATAAAAAAATGCGATTCTACCGATTCTCAAATTAAAATGTGGATAACTCATGAAGCACGTATGTAAGAGTGACGCGACTGAACCAGCACGATTATTAGAGTTTGACCTCTAATATTGTTAGGAGCGATTTCCGACAAATGACCTTGAATGACTTTGACCTTGAAATATAGCAAATAAGTATCGGCGGAATTTTCTTATAAGAAATCTGAGGCCTCAATGTCAATCACAGGACAAGATATAGCCGTTTAACATCGGTAAAGATAGCTGAATAGCCTTGTAGAAGCAGAGTGATGACACTTTTAAAGCCAAGATAAGCTACTTTGAATTCCTCGTAGGTCTGTTCAATGATAAATAATATCAAGAAATATTAAGAATAAATTTATTGAATAGTTTACTTAATTATGAACTTACCAAAACAGCAAACTAATTGACTCCCGAACGATGAGTGTTTTCATCATTGTCAGCTCTTTCATTTCGGACTTTTAGCTTATTCAGATTGTCCAAGAAAACTGTTTTTCACCAAGCTTCTTTCCCTTCGTCCGCGTAAACCTTGTTTGTTTTAATAACAATTCGTGCAACTCTCAACAATGTAATATTCCAAATTTAACATAATTTTTCATATCTGATAAAATCACCTCTAGATGTCAGCTAGAGGTCAAATAAAGAAGTGACCTTGAATGACCTTGAATGTTCGAATTTATGTTTTTGAATCTTTGGAAGCTGTGGTTTGCATCTGAGATCTGTAGAAGCGTTCTTCAGTTACAATTAAACGGAATAATTAAATGATGGTAATGATTAGAATCATACAAATTTTTAATAGTAGTTATATGGAAATTGAGCTTTCAATTGATGGTTGAGTTTCTTGATTGATTCTGATTTGTTGATCATTAATAATTAACAATCCAATTTAAAAATAAAAATCGTAAAATATGATGATTTAATTTAATCAAAATTTAGGTATGTTTATCAATGCTTCTAATCATAAAATTAGATGCAAATTCAAGAGCAAATATCCATTTTCGAGAAAATCAAAAAAAAAATGAATGAATTTTACTAAATTAATTAATTGTTTGCAAAAGCAGGAGCTTCAAGAAAGTAAAATCTGTATGGGAAACCTAATACTTCGGCCAAAGGCCACTATTGTTGAAGGTTCAGTAGTTGTATTAAAAGCAGCTAATTTGCGATAGAATTTTCTGATTCTTTCAAACAGAGTTTCAATCGCACGTTCGTTATTACCTTTAAGACACTCGTGAGTGGAATCGAGACTAGAAAAATTATGAAAATTTCGCGATCTTTTATAATCAATTCGTATGAAAATTATAATCTAATATAATTATGACTTTCACTGGTAGGTTGTTCTTCGGTATTCAGGATCTGGTTTTGATATCTTTTTGTTAATCACTCAGCTAAAGCTAGTGTCGAATTCCCTGAAAACTTTTGTTGCGAGTTGAAATGACATTAATCTCGAGTAAACTTTTCACGATGAATCGAACTATCTTATCTCAATTCGCTCAGTGTTTACTTACTGCTTGTTCATTAATATTGATTCAAATTCTCAATTGATTGAAATAATCTCATGATTATCTTTGATTTAAAATCATCAAAAAATTTCAGATCGAACATTAAAAGTCAAAAGTATGAATATCAATAAACTGTCAAAATAATCAAAATTAAATCAGCATAAATCAAAAATTTGATGCAAACCAGATTAGTTTCATTCTGATGGCTTATTTCACAATTCAATTCAATTTGAGCTCGTAAAAAAATGAACACAAAAACTTGTCATTTAATGATCAAAATTAGCAATAAAAAACTCATCAACATAAATCATGGAAACCAAATAATAATGATATTCAGGATGAAATTAATTCATTTTTTATTAATCATTTTTGAAATTCTCATTCAAATGCTCACAATCATTCTTAATCTTTCATTTGATTCGCCATTGTTTTTCATCGATTAAATATTAATTTGCATTTTTCTAATCAAACTCAATTCCAAATGTTTTCCACCAAAAACTCATGATTTGCTTTCTTTCCTCAACGATAAATATTTTACTTTCACTCATTAAATCCAATTAACTTGCTTAATCTCGTTAATATCATTGATAATCCAACTAATAATAGACAGATTAACGAGGAAAAAGTTAATTAGAGAAAAATTTACCTTCAAACAATTCGTCTTCTCCAATCTAATGAGTCAAACCAAATTACCTGAGAAATGATGAAAAACGAAAAAACGAAGGATTTATTCGATCGAATTGGTTCAAGTTGATTCTGTTTGCTTATTCGAGTTAACGCAAATTCGAACCAAAATTTTGACCTTTAAAGCCTTTTCGACCCTTTCTTAAGATTATCATAAAAACCATTTTTACTTACATTGAACTTTGAACAAACAAAGTCAAAGTCAATGTTTTTTACTAGACTTTAAACTCGTAAACTTCAAGTCGAAACTATTTTCCAAACTGAATCAAGGTTGTCGACATTTCGGGTTGAGGCCAACTCCTTCGAGTCAATTATAAAACCTCTTTCTTTCCTTACTTCAAACACTCTTTTCTCCTCCTTTTTATTATCATCATTATCATCTTCATTTCACTTGAAACTTTTATTTTGATTTCGTGTTTTCTCAGATGTTTTTGTTTTCCAACCTTAATCAACAATTGCTTTTTTTAATATTCAGGTTAAATTGTGTCTTCAGTCCTTTAATCACCTTTGAGATTTACTTGATTTAATACTTGTTTTCACTTGTTTAATGGTTAAAAGCGTCAAATGATTAACTATTTCAATTCAACGACAATTACTTTTGAATTTGTGGTCAAATATCTGATTGAATTGCTTGCCTGGATCAATTTAAGTGACTCCGAGTTGGAAGAGATTGTTAAACATTCAATTGCCAAAAATGATTTAGACCAACTTGTATCAACTCTATGGGTAAGTTTAAGTATTAACATTGAACATTTACTCGAACAATCAATTGGTAGAACCTAAATTTAGTCTATTGATTGCCTTTTAGTTTACAATTCAAGGTTGAGTTTAGAGACAATTGAAAGTCGATGAATGATTTGAATAATTAACCGATTCAATGGTTTATTGAGCAGCCAATAATGATCAATATTCATTGTTTGTTTGAGGAAGATGAAGTACTTTAATTGCTATTTTGGTTACAATCGAGTTTAATTGGTAAAGCTGATTGTTGAATTGCTTTAAAGGAAAAGATGTCTTAGGTTGAGTAGCTAAACATTTTATGCTTTTCTTTGGTTTTCTTTACCATTTTCAATTTACTCTGTAAACCAGAAAATTGGACCCAAAAGACGATCTCAAATAACTTCATTGGTCCTTCAATGTTGCGGTTCACTAAATCGAACCGATATAATAGACTCTCTTCTCGATCAGAAGCTAATAAATCCGTACATTTGGAAAGATCGATATGAATGGTCACCACTACATAAAGCAGTGTACAAACGGGATCTGGCTCTAGTTCAACTTTTAATCTCTCGAGGTGAGTCTCAAGTCTTCAAGATGACAAGTACCAGAAAATTTGCTTTCCTAAACTTATTAATAAAAGTGAATAAAATTTAATTTCGGCAATCAAGGAAGCATAAATTGAGCGAAAGAAATTCAAAAAATTAAAGAAACGAAAAGAGCTGAAACAGCCTTAAAATCACGCTTTTAATACGAAAAGTTGATTTACCACTAAATTACAGTATTTCAAGATTAGCAATACATAGTTTTAACAAAGGTTAGTCAATGAGAAGACTCATCACTTTGGTGTTAATTTCGGGTTTCATTGTTTTTCACAATCGGAGACTAGTTTTACATGAATTAGACAAGAGGCATTTCTCAGGGAATATTGAAAGATTGATTCCAACGAGGGAATCACCACAACTGGTAAATCGATAGCGACCATTGAAATCTCGATATCGATTCACCACTTGTGACAATTTCCTCATAAGTATCGTCTAACTAACATTAGTAATCTGATCGATGTATAACCAGAGGAGACTCCTCATTGACTAACATTGTAAGCAAGTCTTTGCTCATTTAAAAACATGTCTATCAATCTTGACTGCAAAATCAATTTAGAATTTTCGATGAAATTTCGAGTTTAATTTCGATAAAGACTTTTCGAGAAATCGAAATTGATTGTTTTAAAACAATATAAAAATGTAAAGGAAGAGGAACGCGAAAATATTGCATTAAAAGGTAAACCTGTTGAAGGTAATAATAGAGCAAGTTCAAATCAGTTCAGTAAACTAAATTGAATGTAAAATTGCCTTTCGCTTTCCTTAATCATGAAAATTAACTGTTAACGAAACTTTCATCAAGGTTGATTAACATTCAGTATTTTGGTTATCATGAAGAAAAAACATTAACCACTAAAAATTACGTTAATTAACTGACATGAGAAAAAAAAGTTCAAACAAAAGCATCTTATTGTGACTAGAATTTAAATTTTGGTCTCTTTTCAGGAGTCGATATTTACTCTCGTGAAATCAATGGTAACACACCACTTCACATTGCCATCCAAAGCGTCCGTAATCCACCGAGTGGCCTCAACGATGACCAATCAAAAAGCACTTTACTTGAAATAATTGGACTTCTATTGAAGGCCGATCACGATCAGTGCAAGAGCAACCATTACACCGACAATGGTAAACCTTGCAAGTTGGTCAACGAGTACAACAATTTTGGTAAAACAGCTTTACACTATTGCGTCGATCTTGATCCTTCCCCACTGACAATCCAACTAATTTATATGCTAATCAACGGAGGAGCCGACATTGATCTGATTGACTCGAAAGGTCGAACTCCGTTTTTCCATTTAACCCAAGAGTTGAAGCAAAATTTAAGTCGAAACTCGCATTCACCAGAAAAGACCAACACTGACAATGCACTTCATTGTTCACCTTTTATAAACATTTTACTTGAACATAACTGTGATTCACTCAATTATTTAACGATAATCGGTAAAGTGTCGCCGTTGAAGAACCTTTGCCGTCAACTGATTCAAGATCATTTCAAGTCAACCAACTTCAACTGTTTACACGGACTTTTGCCCAATGAGTTGATCAACTATCTTAACCGTCTTCTGGTCAAGTAAACACCAGACTCAAGAAAATACCAGTTTCCAGTCAACAGTTTGTGTCAACCCAAACCAAATTTACCAGTTTAGTCATCAATTTGGATTTAATTTTTCACTTTCAGTTGATTGTTATTTTTGCATAAATCATGTAAACTCAATTGTCACTAACCTTAAAGGTAAAATTGTTTGATAACATGATATTATTAATGTACAAATGTGATCATCAACAATAAAAAAAAAGGTTTTTACCAAGGCTTTTGGCTATCAATTTAACCACCTTGACCCATCTTTAAACACGATTAATGGTGAATTAGTTTTTTCAATCATTAAATCTATTCATCCTCATCAACCATTTCTTGATCAACATTAACCTTGTTTATGATTTAAATTGCTAAATTGGTCAATGTTTTCTTTTTGTTTTCAAACAATAATCTTGACCATTTGTTCACATTATTCACAGTCAAGGTAAATTTCATTTACTTCCTACCGGTTTTGGGTTGAATTGATCAAGGATCAACTTTCATATCAACCACATTTGATCCAATTTCATTATTTTAAGGCAATTTACTTGTTATTTAACAATATTTTTCCTTTTATTTCCTTTATTCAATCAATTATTGATTAGGTAAGTAACGTCATCTGATGTCAGAATCTGGAGTAAAAATCGTTTCAACAGGGAATCGAATCAAATTGAATCTAGAGTTTCATTTATTATGATAATTCAGTGACTGATTGAGCTACGAAAACATTTCAAGCGAACATTTCTCCGCAAAATACTTTCATGAAACTTGAACAATTTTTTCATTTTATTTTACCGAACATACTTTGACCAGTAAAGGGCCGAAATATAGAAAGCAATTTAACGAAATGCAAGCACTTAAAAACATTCGTTATTTCAGTTATTACCCGAACCGCTTCGACCCTTCACATTCACTTACTTATAGACATTGGATTCAGGTGGCTCTGTGGTTCAACATGTGGGAAAGCAAAACATGTGCCAATACATGTGGTCAAAACTGGTTTTCGGGCTAACATTGTGATATATTGAGATATTTTTGGATATTTTTCTAGTTTTGTTCATTTATTGAGACATTGTAAATTCAAGTTTGGCTTCTGTTGAGTTAACCGATCAAAATGAGTGGAAATAATGATTACCCGAGTAAAGTTACTATCAAAATGAGACCAAGTGATGAGGATTACCAAGATATTACAATTGATTGGTCAGATGAAAGCTGTGAACATAAACAACAACTATTCTTCCGAAAGGTAAGCACAATACTTCTTATACGGTATTTTTCATATTTAATTGACAATGGTTCTTTGTAATTGCACTTACAGATTGCATCTTTCATTGGATTACCAGCCAAATATTTAAGCAGCATCTACATTAATCATACAACGACTCTGATTCCGCTTTACAATACAGAAAGTAATTTTCAGTATGACCCTCCACGAGTGAATGATACATTTTGGCGAAGTCTTAATGACGGCGACTGTTTCTTGCTTCGCTCGTGGCTACGTTTAATAGATCACGAATGCCTTTTCGATTTACATATCGATATTTTCTCGGCACAACGTGAAGACATTCATCCAACCCAATGTACTCTATTGTATTGTCAAACCATAAATAGCAGATCTTACTTGAATAAAAGAAAGGAAATCATTCTAAATTCGGCAATATTCCCACAAATTAGAGCTGGATTTCCTGAACAAAGATTAGGATTACCTGACGAGGATCTTTGGAAAAAAACTTTAGTTAATTTCAATATCAGACAATATTTTAATCCGGCTTGTTGTCGTGTACTCTTCGGTGGCGTGAATGACAGACATGAGCGTGAATATTTGCCGCATCGAGGTTGATGTCCAGATAAATCATGAAATATTAAGAATACCAATAAATTTCAATCAGTTACATCTGACATTTTGCTTCGCAAGTTATTACCAATTCATCAACAGACAATTAACTAATCAAAAATTTAAACAACTTTACCTTGGTAAGAATCGCAACGCAATAGCCTTAAAGAAATTTCGAGTCGTGAGTGAAATAAGAAACCCAAAAATGAAAAAATGAATCAAAAAGTCTTTACTTTTGTAATTTTTAGTTGATGTCTTGGCGCCCTCTCTTGTCTACCAGTTTACCTATTCAACTGTCTTTTGTTATGGATCAAGATGTAATCATGATTTGGATAGTTTTGATTTATACTCTGATAATTGATGGCAGTGTAATTCAAGTTAATAGTGATGGACGATTGTAATTAGATTTATAAGTAGATTTAATCATAAACTGTTTTTGCTTGTTCAATCATTCGAGAATTGAATGAGTAAAGTAAACTTGGTAAACTGTTGGTTTGTTGTATGAACAGGCAAACCCAAATGAACAATAAAAATTGAATGGTTATCATCATATTAAAAGCTGTTGACTTGATTCCATTGATGATATGTGTCTATGATAATATCGACATGAAAGGATACCAGGCTGGATCAATTAGTCTACCGGGAATTAGCCAATGAAACTGAATCGATTCAAAGCAAAATATCAAAAAGCAAAATGAAAGGGGCCAAAGTTAATTTGCTTGTTCCATCATGTTCCCTTGGTAAATCAACTGGCATTAAAACGCCTGAAAACACACATTATTAATATAGATCTGAAATGAACAACAACCAGAAAACAAGAACACACAAAAAAATGTAAACTAAATGATGATGATTAAATAATATGTAATCATATAACATAATCATTAACGTGTAAAACAAAAGCTGTAAATGTAAAAATGAAAACAGAAGTGGAAACAAAATGAAAACATTTAACCAAATTGGCCAAGATTATCATCTAAACCAGCAAAAAATTCAATGTTTCATATTGATATTAATGAAAGATTATCGTCTAAGAATGAAATTACCTGAAATCAGATGTAACCAAAGGAATAACACAAAACTCTCAACATTTCCCCGATATTTGTCTTTGTATATAAAAAGGTAAATATTGTCATCAAAACAATTCTCATTAACATTTACCATTCAAGAGTTACTCAGGGAATGGAGAGAAAAAGTAAAGAACAAAAAATAAATGAAATTGAGGATAAAGATGAAGAAAAAGAGGAAGAAAAAAATTCTTCCCTGAGAGAGATTTGGATGAAGATAGTTTGGATATGAAACAGGTTCGATCACTCGGGAAATGAGGAAGGAATGAAGACTCAGTTCTGGCAAAGTGTCTCATGAGGTTTGGACATTGTGTGCTCTGATAATGATGAGAAGAAGAGAATGAGATTAGAAGATGAAAAAGGAGTAAAATGTAATGTAAAGAAAGAAGAAGAAGATGAAATAAGAAAGATTATTCGAAATGATCTGGTCTCTCTCCTCAAGGAAAAGTCAACTTCAATTTTTTGCCTCAACTTTCCTTCGTCTTGGAAAAGGTAAGATCACAAGGGAATTGTGTGTTGTGTTTAAGGAAACAAACTTCATTTTCAGCTTTTATCTTCTTCGTCTTCCATGGTTGTTCCGTTGTTACACCAAGTTCATCAGTCAACATTCCAGTGTCTATTATGCGAGAAAGAAGTAAAAAGTTGTGAAAAAGTGATAAAGAAATGATGAAGGTAAGGCAACCCTTGAAAAGTCTAGTTTTTACCTTTTCTTTTCTGGATAACCTCATTCAGTGGATACAATCGTTCGACTCTGTGAAACATTGATTCTAACAGGGTAACTCTGTATATCCCATGAGGATAAGCGAAAAGGAACCTCAAGGGCACCATAGCTTCAAATGATTTCCCTTCGTTATTCCAATTCTTTCAGCTTTTTCTTCTTCTTTTTTCTTCTTCTTCTCATTCCACTCACTCAGTAAATATATACTCATATATTGATGAGACAGCGCAAAAGAGTAAAGTGAGTTTAGATGATGATCAAAATGAAGATTGAGTGAGAAGTAAAAGGTAAACCTAGGCATAGGTGATGCTCGGTGTGTGAGTAATATACATGAGGAAACCCCCTGTTTGGAAGATTATTTTCATTCTCTCTTCTCTTCTTCTTCTTCTATTTTTGCTTATTTCCTGATAACATAAAGTAGACTTGCCTAAGCTAAAAAAGCTATACACGCTTTCAACTTGTAAGCTTTTTACTTGCAACTATCAAGGGATTTACTCCCTTCATCAATTCCCGAATGAATTTTATCTCTATCTTTCTCTTATTGCCTTACTCTTTTTACGAGAAGTTATATATTCTTCATCATCTTCTTTAGCATCATTTTCATCTTCCTTTTTTTTCTCTTCATCTTCTTCTTCATTCTTCCTTCTTGTACAACACACAAATGTAAAGCACAGTTTAACCAAGTTACAACTACGAGTCTGGCATCTATTTACCTTTGGCTCTTTCTTTTCTTTCTATCTTTCTGTCTACTCTTTTTCCTTTCACTGTTCACACACTCAGTTGAAATATTCACAGAATCAAGATAACATGATATAAGTTGATAAAGTTAATGTTGAACAACATTTTCAACAAACTTGACTTTTCCTTTAACAGTTCATTTTGTTTACTCAATGTTTTGTTTCAATTTTCACGTTTTTCTGCTTTTCCATCTTTAATGTTTGACAAATTTATTGATAATCTCAAATGGTCACAATGAATGGATAGTTGTTTCATCATTGCCATGTGATACATTCAAGTCAACTCCAAACCATTTTATCCAAACGAAAAGTGACAATTTTCCAGTGAAAGAAATCATCGAAATGTCCAGTTCTCTGGTTAATAGTTCACAAGACGATTCAAATGAGCTTTCGTCCATTTCAATATCTTCCCGTAATCGACGCAAACAAGCTCAACCTCGTTCATTCAAACGTAAGTATCAACCTTTCATCGACTAACATGACAACTGTTGCCAGTTTACATTCACTTAAAACCTTCAATCAGCTTTCCCAATAAAATGTAAAGTTCCTTGAGTTTGAAAAACACAAAATGAATGAACAATTGATTGTTTAGAAGTCCTGAAATTTCATGAGCGAATCTTGAAATTCAAAGAGCAAAGAATATTTTTGTGGTCATTTCATGGTCGGCCAACAATCAAGAGTTAATTTCCAGCAATTATAATTGAGATTAAACTCGATCCATTAAAAATTGAAATCACTCGTCAAATGAAGTTAAGTCGACTTCAATGAAATAGTTTCTCAATATTGATATTAAATTGCAAAATGTTTCAAGATTGAAGGAAAATGAAAAATATTAATTTCCATGTAAATCTGTTCATTTATTGATGAAACTAATTTTGGGGTAAATTCATGTTCGAGTGTAAAATGATGTTTGGTTATAAATTTTTGGTGACTTTGCCTTACATTGAAAAAACATTAAGCTGAATGCACTTGTAACTGATTTTCAATTTTTAACTGTTAGACAAAAAAATGAACTTGCTAACGATCTTAATCAGATTTGTTATCATACAAGAACCAGAAATGATTCAGTTATCATTTTCCAGGAAACTTTCAATTCCAGGGAGAATTCAATTTTGGATATAATTTTCTTCTTCCATATCTTTCTTTAAATTAAGAAAATGTTGGTCTGTTTTTCCTCTTTTCACCTTTTTTTATCCAACAACAGTTTACATTTGATCAGATTATTTGGTAATTAACACTCTTAACATTTGTTTATAATCATTCAAGTTTTAAAAATGTGTTCTTAATGTTCAGCTTGGAAGGTAATTAAGAACTGGAGTTTCTTAAAGAATCCATGTCAACATCTGATCAAGTTAACTCTTCCATTGGAAGATCTTCTAGAGGTTATTAGCAATTAACTTTCTCAAGTCATTACAGGAAAATCATGATAATTATTATTCAATTATTTACTGTTTACGACTAATTACTTGATACATCAGTTGATAGTCAAGGTTTTGACACTGAAAAATTAGCTAACTAGTGATTAACCAGCTATTTAGCTTATAATCAACACTTTTTTAGACATTTTTTCATTTCAACTTTCGTTATTAGATTGTTTTGCAGTCGATAGAAGGAGCCACTCTCTCCAGTAGAGACTCAGGTTACATTAAATTTTCATTGTAACTGTTAATGAGCTAATGTTACTTGTTGAGAGCGTTTTTTGTCTATTTGCCGTCACGAAGCACGAACTTTGATTTTGACCATGAGCTTACATAAGTTGGCACTCTGAAGGTCATTCAAGATCGCTCGGTTATTTGACTTCTGATATTTGGAGTTCGCTTTATGAGAGCGTCTTCACTTTGGTTGTTGCTTGTTACAAGTTGAAAACTTACACCGTTGGAAAGATGAACGAGTTTATTGTAAACCAAATTGATTAACTGAACGGTACTTGAATCTTATGGACAGTATGAGATATCGACTTGTAACAATTATGAATCAACAAGAAAAGGTTTATCAAGTGCTATGAATGTAAATAGTAGTAATTGATAAACAAACGCCCGTCAAATATTGTTAATGAATAATTTTTTGGTTAAACTTATTAATCTAGTTCACATCTGTTAATCTATGAAGTTTAATCAAGTGTTCATTATTCCAATGGTTCCCATGACTTGAAGTATAAAATTGTTTCTGTAAAGTTAATGAAACATTGAAAGCATTTGTCCTTATCCAATGTTAACTGAGCGTCTAAACATCTTAATTGCAAGTTAATTGTTCATCTTATAATCAATAGGACGTGAGCAAATACTAAACACATTTTATTTAGACTTCACTCGTAAAATGAGTTTTTCATTTCACTCTAAATTCATTATTGCATTTCTAATCATTTACTTTCAGAGGATCTATCCCAAGGAATCACGGCCAAAGACACACTTGACATTTACACAACCATCGATGAAAACAATATCGACCAAGAATCCCGAAAAAAGGTTGACTTGAAAGACTATGAAAGTGAATCAGGTGAGTTGCTTCAATAGATGCTTTCATTGAACTTATAAAAACAGTTAATCTTGCAGATCAAGATGCTAAAGTTGTAAACTCGAGAAAACAGAATAGAAATTATGTTTTCTTTATCAAATTACGCTTTTATCGATACTATTGATCCGTCCATTTGTCTCTTCATTTCCATTTCCATGATAACAACAACAATGAAGATAATGATTGCCAGTCTTCATCTTTTCCTTCAATTCTTCACCTTTATTCCAATTCTTGAGTTTGTTCACTTTTACTTTTCTAATCTTGCCTTTTCCCTTTGCATACTTTTTTCATCTTTTCACCATCAGATAGAAATATATATATTTCCATGAATATACTCGGGAGATTTTAAAGATTCTTCTCCATATAATTTTCTTCTTCTCATCATTATAGTCTTCTTACATTCACCATCATCTTAACCATGTACTTTACTTTTTCCTCAATCCTCATGAGCATTCCAAGTAACTTTCACTTTTATCTTCGTCGACTCCCTGAGCTTCTTTTCTCCTTTTACTCGTTTCTCTTCTTCGTCTTCCTTCGTATTCCTTTTCTTTTTTCCTCCATCTTCTTTTACTCTTATTCTTATCCTCACGAGAATTGCTGATGAATTCTGAGCCAATGACGGATTCACAATTCTCATTGGAATAACCATTAATGTACATTTCTTTAGTTCGTTACAATTCAAACCAAGTAACGTACAAACTAATATACCAAAACAATCATCATCATCATCAGTTCTTCTTCATCATCTTTTCCCTTATCCAAGATAACTAATGTTCACGATCCTTGACTTTCAGGAAAACCAAATTTTCCATCTTAATCCATTTCCAACATTCACTAATTATCCAACAAACTCAATGAATATTTTCCCAAACAATGAATCCAGAAAGTTTCAGAAAATATTTTCACCTAAAATTATAAATCAAACATTAGTTTAAATTAAGCAGAATTGTCAAGTTAATGATTAATTGAAAAAGTCTATTACAATGTAAACTTGAAATCATTTGAGATTACCTTTGATCCAAATTGGTTTGTTATAAGTTCACTGAAGTAAATGAAACACATTCATTATCTTTTCAGGATTAAGTGAATCAAGTTCAATGGAAAGTCTAAATTCGGAGGAATTTGAATCCAGTTGCAATTCAGATGATATTCAACTTGCATGTTCAATTGGTGAATCAAGCCATCAATGTCAATATTGTGACAAAGCATTTCCAAGATTATCATATCTTAAAAGGCATGAACAGGTAAGTGTCCAACAATATTGGTAAGAAGCAAGAATAGCAGAAAGATCAAGAAAAGTGTGAAAATGCGGATTAAAGGACATTCATCAGAGCAATTTGTTGTATTAACATTTAAACTGTTGACCCGAGTAAAGTTATTCAAATTGTTTGCCAAGAATGAATTGTTAAATTAAATTCACTCTTTTAACACATGAAATGAATCGGTAAACATTACAGATTAACACCAATACATTGAACATTAACACTTGGAGTGATTAACAAAATGGTTGTGACAGAGTTAACAAGTTTCTTACCACTCATTGGAATGATAATAATAAGATTTTCATGTAAATTTTCATTGAACAAGGTTTTAGTGGACAAAAGGTAAAAACTGAAAAATGGTTAACATGTAAAGTGCAAGAGGCGCAACTGAAAGCCTTTTCAATAAGGTTTTAAAGCTGAAAAGAGATGAAAGGTGAGAGATGAATGGTGATAAAAGGATTTCAACTCATTTCGGAACAATTGCTATTCCTTTTCATCATTATTAGTGTTTAATATTATTTTGAAAACACTTGTTGTCGATGTTGGAGGAAGAAGGAAAAAAGCTGTTCCTTTTGCTTTCGAGTGAAAAGGCCATTTTAAGTGTACGTTTAGATTCAGCTTTGGCTTTGGTTGCTTTCCTTGTCCATGTTAAATTGTCTGTCCATAATTCACTTTCATCTGCTTACTATGTGACCACTCCATTGACCCAAATCAATGGTTGCCCATAAATGACCAAGAAAATGGATCAAGGTCAACTCTTTTTCCCTTTTTTTTCCTGATTCTCTCCTCCTTCGCCCTTGTCCCGGTCACTGTTTCAAGTCCATTTCAAAGCTATTAAATTGCTTTTTTCAGCAACAACAATAGTCTTTTCAATCGACAATCATTGTAACATTTTTCACCATTTTTATTCAATTTTCTCCCTTCTTTGCTCTTTTCTTTACTTTCCATTGATTTGGTCATCATTGGTCATCCCTTTGCCATGTTATCGGTAAAAACCTTTTATCAGTCAAAAAGTGACCGGAACTCGCCCAGTTCCAGTGACATGAGATCCATTCACTTTTGTCGCGAAAATATCATCAATTATTTATTTCAATATCATAAACATGTTTCGCTTTCAATCACATTTATTTCATAAAATACAATCCTTTCAAAAGTCTAGTCCACAAGTTATTCCTAGTTAGTAATTAAGATAATTCACAATTTAACAGCTTAAATCGCGATGAATCAAATTTTAAATAATATCTGTTTGAAAACAAATTAATAATGAAAATCGATTTTGAAAATTTTAACATTGAAATGGATATTCAAAAGTTATGTCAATTCTCAGTTGTTCAATGAATGTATAAAATTGAAATTTGATAAAATGTTTCTTCTTGCATTAGATTGATGCATTGATGGATAAGGTCTAGAAATGAATGGAAGCAAAAATGGTTAATTTCACCTTTGCAGCAAGATTTTGAAAAATGGTTCAAAAATTTTCGATATTACATTTTAGTCTATTGTTGTGTTGCTAGTAATGATGTCTTCATTAGGCGATTCTTGATGACTTGAATCCGTCTCTCGTTTACTCGCACTCACCACAATAATTAACCATGTAAAAAGAACATGAAAAACACGAAGATAAATAATAATCAGCTAATTAAAGGGTATAACCATAAATGATTCCCTTTTTTACCTTTTCAAGTTTATTTACTTTTCACAAGGTGATAATAATAGATAATAGAAATGTTTTTCTTACCTTGTATTTTCTTAGCTTTTTGCTTTCTCAAGTTTAAAAGTAAAAAGAGAACCAGAATTTACAAAGAAACCGATCTTTATCTTATGATGTTTCGCCGTGACAGCGATGACCTGAACAAACATTTAAACACACAGGAAGATGAACGAGGAAAGAAAAGATATAATCTTTGGAGAAACATTTCTCCATTTTTAAGGTAACACAAAAAATAAGACAAAAAAAAATACCTGTTTAGGCTTGGTCAAGTCCATGATACTAGTTAAAACGAAACCAATTAAGGCCAACTTTTTCCTTCTCTTTTCAAACTTTCTTTTCTAAGGTAACCTTAGGGTAAAGAGATTGTGACTCGAGGTGACCCATCCTTTGACAAGGAAAAGGGTTGGGTTAAAGGTTGACCACCTAAGGTTCACTCTAAATTAGGTGAGACAGGTAAGTTAATTAGGAGAGAGAGAGAGTAAAAAAGGAAAGAAGAAGAAGACGTTTCAACGATAATGATCCACATCTAGATTTGGATGTTTAGGCCATCAATCGCAATCGATGATAAAAACAGCTGCATTAGTCAGTTGACAAGTCAATTTACTTTGGCCATCTCTGACTGATTTAACTGTTTCAAATAGCAGGACATTTGAGCTTTACTTAGCGCTATCAAAATTTAACAATGAAATAAATCAAATACAAAAATGGACTCACAGTTGACAGTTTACTCAAAAATAGATGACCATTGATAAAGAATGGATATTGAAAGGGAAATTGAATTGATTATTGTAATCATAATTATCAATATGAATCCTCTTTCAAGGGAAAGTCAATGTGTGTTGAACGAGTAAATAATCATATTAATAAAGAGATGCTTTTGATAAGATTGGGTCAAATATATCGGTCAATTTTCAATGGTAAATGTTGGTAACATTGAGAGTGTGAGTACAATGTAAAAATATAATAATAACCACGCGTCCATCATTTGATTATCAACTGTAAATGTTAAAAATAGAAATGGTTTAAATTGAATTATTGAAATGGCGAAGAGATTAAATCAATCCTTTGACAACTGTAACTTCATGGACCACCCTACATCTATTATTAACATGGTAAAATAGATGGCGGGCCAGACGCACAATTACTATTGTTACCATTGGTTTAACTGACAATAAATCTCCATTGTTTTCAAGACGCGGGTCAAGTTTCTTGATTATCAGCAACCCTTTTTTTTACTGCCATGTTTAGTGCCTTAAAGATTTTTTGTCAACATTTTTACTTGATCTCTTGTTGCTACTCTTGTCCTTATCTTTAAGTCAACTTGACCATAACATTCAACCTTTTCAACTTTTCTCTCTATTGTAATTTTTTTTCTTCCAAAAATGGTCCAGAATCATTCGGAATTAATGCCTTTTATATGCAATTATTGCCAGCGGACATTTAAACATAAACGAAGTCGAGATCGCCATGTTAAAATTCACACAGGTAAGTTCACTTGTGCCACTGAAAACAGCCAAAACAAAATAGCCAAAATTAAAGGTTTCAAAACAGCTGGCAAAACCGCCAAATTTTTTGTGTTTTTTATTTGTATTTTGATAAGAATATATTAAGAGATTAAGAAAACGAAATTAATTTAAACTTGATTCAGACTATTTTGCGCCTATGGGTGTTTTGAGGTGCAACCGTTTTTACTGCATAAAGATATCTAGAAAAACTAATATTTTTGTTCTTTTTTTTGGTTTACTTTAGGTGATCGCCGTTATAAATGTAACCATTGTGATTCAGCTTTTGCTCGTAGTGATCATCTTAAAACTCACATGAAAACACATGATGATATGAAACCTCACCGTTGTTATCCTTGTAATAGAGGATTTTCATCGTCTGCTGCTTTAACATCACACATTCAAACTCACAAACAGACGACTGTAAAAGTACAGTCAACTGATATGGTTGAGTATAACAATAGTGGTGAAAATAAAAAACATGAAGACATTTCTACAAGTAATTCAATTGTTCAACCAGATGAACGGTCGGATAATTTGGATAGCAGTAATTTGCAAAATCGCCATGTTAATTTGAATAATGATCAACAACAGCAACAAGTAACCTGTGGTTTATGTGGAAACAAGTGTACCTCACTTGATACTCATATAAGAGAAAGTCATCTTCATCATCTTCTTTTTGCTGGTTTACTTCAAAACTCTTTCTATGGTGCATCCATTGCTAATTGGCAACAATTAATGCCAAGTCCAACTACACCGGGATTAGTTGCTGCTGCAGCAGCTGCTGTTGCTGCATCTTCTTCATCTTCATCGTCAACATCATCTTCATCACCCACAACCAACACTTGCAACAATCTCAATCAAAATCACCAGTTTAATGAGAATCTCAAGAATGGACAATATTTAGTCCAACAATCAAAATCAAAATCATTCCCACCCAAAGCAAGTTCATCTTCACCTAATCACAATTGTGATTCAAAAGTAAATAGTTCACCTTATTGTTCATCAAATGATTCAAATATCCCTTTCTTGTGTAATCAATGTTCACCTTCACCATCATTTCCCGATTTCGAGTCATTCCGTGTTCACCTAAAATCACATCTTCTCGCCTCATCTTCATCTTCATCTTCATCATCCTTATCATCCTTATCCCCTGGATCTCTACCAACCAATTTAGATCTACTCAATCCCATTCTGGGTCCATCCATGATTCATGGTCATCATAATTTACCTCGCCATCAACAACGTTCTTGTCCATATTGTGAAACAATTGTTACCTCTGACTTGGAGAACCACATAATCAGTTCACATTTAGCTTCAACAGTATCCTCATTCACCTGTGAATCTTGTAAAAAAGTATTTACTAAATCAGATGATCTAACGAAACACCTAATGGACTATCATTCCCATCATCTGTATCAATGTTCAATTTGTCGTGAAATGTTTGATACTGATGTCACTTTACAAGTTCACTTTGCAGTTAAACATTCAAACCAATGTAAAGTATTTAAATGTTCAATTTGTAATGAACTTTGGCCAAATGAAAAAGATTTCAAAGTTCACCTTAAAGTCGCTCATTTCTCAACCCCAAGTCTAGTCAACCACCACAACCTTGCTCATCAACACCAACACCAACATCAAACCACTAATGGTGTTCATCCATACTCACCAAGTGCCTATCGTCATTTACCTTCATCTTTGGTAACCTCAACGAGTAACTCAAACAATGGCAATAACACCAATCCTCATCACAATTTAACAGTTAACAGTTTAACTGCAGCAGCGGCAGCATTCCAACTATTTGGTCCAAAAGCGTACTTCAAGTGTCAATTTTGTTCAGATGAATTCCATATTGAATATCTATTGGAGAAACACATTGAATTTGTTCATGGATCACAGATATCATCGCATTCATTACCTTACAACCAAATGAAAAGATCAAGCCCTAAGATAGTCTCACCTCGTCTAAACGAATCTAAAAAGCGTAAATCAGATTCAACTAATGGAAACGATGACATAAATGTCGATGACGATGACATTGACGACGAGAAAGATGTTGATGAAGATATTGTTGATACAAGTAATGATCACAAGGATATTGAAACCATCAATGATAAAGAAAGCTCATCTTCCCCAACAAAACTGCGAATCATTGAATCACCTAAACCTTCAACACCTTCAACATCCGAAACCTTAACAGCAACAACAGTAACATCATCATCATCTCCACCAGTGACAGTTGCATCTTCATCAATCCTTGCAAAAACTGGTAAGAGCCCAATGAAATGTGTTAAAGGTGATTATCTCAATCTAAATAATCCCATTTGGACTCCTTACACTCACCTTATCCAAAACTCAGCAACCTCATTGATGATTAAACTATAATATTACAAAATTATTATTTTAAGCATGAATAAATGTAAGCTTATTTTCAACATATTTTTTGTTACTGGTCAAAGCAAATTTAATAAAATTTTCATTCGCATGTGCCAATCCTTTGCATTCTGTTTATTTATTAAACAAGCTTTTTTCAGCCAATTCAATACCAACTATCCAAAAGTGTATTCAATAATTAACAATGAAATCTTAATTTGTTTACCTCTTTTACAGTAACTGGAAATGGCAAAGGTCCAGCAACGAAATGCAACATTTGCGATGAAATTTGTGGCTCAATAAGTGATCTCGTTGAACATAAATTGAAACGTCACAATGTTTTTGGTAAATCAAGTTCTCCCCTGTCAAGGTGCCTTCAATGCTTTGAGACAATTAAAAGTGAAAACGATTTCATCAACCATTTAATTGACCATTGCAACAACAAATCATCACCAGTCTCATCTACATCATCAAAATTGACTTATAGTTCAATTCAACCATCCAAACCATTGAAAACAATGGATGATTTAATACGAAATGGTTTAACTAAATTTCCAATCTCATGTATTGTCTGTAAGCAAACATTACTTCGTCCATTAGAGGTAGCAATTCATGCTAAATATCATTGCTCATCGTCATCAGTATCAACAATAACATCATCGGTTGCACCATCAAAAGAAACGATGAAACCAGCAATTAAAGTGAAGTCACAGATGATTGGTAAACAAGAAGTCTTTGCATCTAAAAACGAGCCATTTGACGAGTTGATCAATTGTTCATTGAATAATCACCTTGAATCGCCAAAGAGTAAAGTTGATGTTGAAAGAGAAGCAAAAAATGAATCAATTGAAGAGGAACCATTGTCTTTAATCACAGTCAATCAAGACGATAATGATGAAAGGAGGACAAAAACATCTTCACCTAACACACACCAATGCATTAAATGCCAACAATCCTTTCCAACCAAATCAGAGATTCAATCTCATATAATAGCTCACATTAACCAGGAAAGTAACACGATTAAGTGTCAATTGTGTGGAGATAAAAAGGATTCTCCGGCTAAATTACAGGTTCACCTGATTAAACATGATTGTAAGGATAATCAATTCGATTGCTCCATTTGTCTAATTAACCAACAGAGTCCAGTTAATTTACAGATTCACATGTTTTCACAGCACTTCAATCAAAAGCAATTCAATTGTTCTCACTGTTCACAAAGATTCTGGTTTGCCTCTGAGCTGGAAAACCATGAAATGGTCGAGCATTGTAATGATAGTCAAACAAGTCCTGTCAGTCCAACAGGTGATGAAGGTCAAATTGAAAAACAGGATCACAATGAGAACGGAATTAAATTGAATGATATTGATTCAGGAATTAGTCACCAATCGGATGGCAACTTCATCACCTTCAAGCCATAAGAAAAATTCAATAAAGGTTCAGTGTAAAAAAATAAAGTTTGTAACTTGTATGAAGTTTAACATGTAATTAAAAATCATTAAAATAAATTATTCCATAATTTGAATATTGAGCAACAAATAAAGACAAAAATCCACAAAATTTTTGTTGCCTCAATCCGTTAACGATTGCAATCAAATCCAAACAATTTTAATTTCAATGGAATTTTGAACGACATTGAGACTTCGAACTTGTGGAGGCTCATGGTTCAAATCTTGGATCTGTACCATAAACTGTTCATGCTTTTGGACTGAAAACAGAGTCAGGATAAGAATGCTTGATACTTTGTAATTTGGATTGTTTGAATTTGATTGTTATCTTTTTGATGATGATTTATAATTTATGTTTGGATAAATATTTGTATAACAATAACTGATCTTGGACAATGCGGGTTTAATTCAGTGAACTCATCAACATGTTCGGTCATGAGTGTGTACAATTATTGGCTTTAAAGGATGATTGACCTCAATCTGACCTCATATTCTTCCGGTTATTTACCATCTGCAATTTGATCATGAAAGTTGCCTCTTATAATAATTTGTGATGATCCGTAAAGTGAAGGCATTTTTTGTGATAAAAGATGGAAACATGACCAGAAGAAGACAAGTTGAAAACAAGAAATCCTATTCGCTTTTTCATCTCACATAGTTATTTAATTTTTGTACTAATTTTTGTTTATTTTGTTTAATATTTTAACTGCAGGTGATCAAAAGGTAACAAGGCAAGGAATAATTTGTCTCTGGTTATTAAATTAATTACAATTGCAACTAAAGAACATCATTTTAATGAATTGATGTTCGCCTTGAAGGATGAAGGTAAAGAAGCCTCCATGAACAGTGAACATCTCAAGACATCTGTAGGAATCCATACAGATCCATGTTTCCATTTCAATCGTTTCCATCATTTCATCCACAAATGATTCATTAAACATTAAATCTATAATGGCAAGACCTCCAACTGAAGGAATAAAGGTGATTCCATCTTCAGTCTCAGGGTGTTTCATCCCTCAATTGCGGATCCAGGATAGCAAATAATTAATGGCAGTGACAAGGCGAACTTTAATTTTAAAAATTTATCATTCAGATTCCAATCTGTTCATAACGAAACTCAAAATTGAAACATGGGTGATCCTCAGGTTCCACTCCTTGTACTTTATTTTCATCCTTCTTTCAGATTCTCCTCCCTCATCATCATCATAATAGCATTTCCATCCACCTTTACTTCAGTCCGATTCTGTGAGTTTCAAGAAACCAGTCAAAACAAGTCAACATGTTAACTCACCTCAGGATGAAAATTTCCATGATTATTAAACTTCTATTTCCATGTTTAATTTTCACTTTCAGCCTTTCGTTTGTGGTTAAAACCCGATTCTTGATTGATAATCAAGTTGAATATCTTTTACTTTCATCAATCAACAGATTGTCACCCAGAAAACATATTAATTATCCATTGCGTTTCCTTCATTAGTCTTGAAACAATTGGAGTTTTTTGAGCCGAGAAAATGTAAGAGATAAGTTCATTAAATTATCAAACTTTCCGGATTTCAAATCAAATTTTCTTTTGAATCCGAACCTAATTTAATTTTTGCGTAGGAATACCAATTTTCCATCTTGTTTTCCAATAATCTGTATCAAGCCAATTAAGTTGATTGTGGGTGAAATTAAATGTTAACAATGAATACAATAAGATTATACAACTTTTATGCTTATTTCTGATTGCGTTTAGTCAATGAAAAATTCAACCCTAAAGTTGTGATTAAAATGACAATTATTTTAAAGACTTAAACTGTTTAAAATTTAAGGTAGCGTAAAGATTCATTTTCAAAATGAACACCTACAATTATTCAGGTAATCATTTGATAATTTATTTCATCTCTTGTTGCCTTCAATTGTTAATTTGTATAAATTTTCATCTTTCACTCATTCATTTATGAAGTTAACACTTCAACCTTTTCAAACGATAAGATTTTATATAATTTGATGAGCATCAAACATTTCATATCAATTTTGTATTGATTCAAAACTAATCGTTTATCTGATTCCTTTCCAGATTCACTCATAACATTGAATGCCGATGAATCGCGAAGCTCAAGAATTCATCATCATCTTAACCATGCACTTTACTTTTCTCAATCCTCATGAGAATTCAAAGTAATATTCACTTTACCTTCTTCGTCTTCCTTAACACTTTCTTTTTCGTCATTTTCTTTTACTCTTGTTCTTACCCTCATGAGACTTGCTGATGAATTCTGAGCCAATGACGGTTCAAAATTCAAAGTGGTGTCGTTTGATCAGAAGACTTGCTGTCAGTCGAAACCACTTTGCAAGTCTTCAGATAAACAATTCAGATCTTAATCTCATCTTCAAAGCTCATTGCGATCTTTTTTTTTCGGTTCAAAATTCCAATATCAGTTAGGGCAGCTTCAAATTTCGACTTTTGCCAAACGATAATTAAGAGTGTCGAGTTGAGATATTAACATCAATCAGCATTAAATTAACATTATCTACACTTTTGTTATGAAAACGATTGGAAGCGAGATTAGTGATTGCATTCAACGGTTTTATCTTGCAAATGTTGCTTTATTTGACTTTTGGCAAAAGTATAAATGAAGTTGAGTGTCAAAAAGGCAATTTCAATTGGTTATGCTGTGGTTTCTTTTGTGGGTCAACTCTTATTGTCCATTGTATTTTCAAGATTAAAGATGAGTTTAAATGAAAGCGTAACTTGAATCCATTTCAATGGACAGTCAACATCTAATGAAGAAACAGTCTTAATTAACAGATTTGCCTTCTTCTTAAACTGGTTAATTAGATTAATTTATGAGCTAGAAAAGGCAATCAACAAGTTTTCATCTTTCAAAGTAAACTTTCCCTTTGCTTCTGGTCATTTCAGTGGCCAATGTTTACCTCTCTCTATGCCAAGGATGAGAAGGTAAAAAAGGTTGATAAACTAGAAATGATTGGTTCCACTTGCCAATTACCTTCAACCTTAAAGGTTAACTCACAAGATTGAGATGTAAATGTAACCAATTCAATAGGAATGATATCCTTCATATAAAGTTAACTGAAAAAACCTAAAAAATGAAATATTTGAAAAATGAAGGATTGATGGAAATTGAAATTGAACAAAAACTAATGAAATGAAAGTCGACTTTTGATGGATTGGGAAACGAGTCAAGTGAAGGTTCACTTTTTTTGTTTCACATTTTCCTTTGTTTTTGGGCTTCAAAGTGACCATTATATGGATAATATAATGATTTAAGGTGCTCTTTGATTGTCCAACTTGAAGAGTCATAAAGTTAACCTTGCTCGACCTCCTACTTGTTTGTATTTGAAGGCCTTTCAATTGGTCAACTATTGGTTGGCACTAAAAGATGAAAGGAAAGTCTGAATATTTTTGAAACTCTTTTTAGGTGTTTTAGTGTCTTTAAGAGGGAGTAAACTGGATGATATGATGAGACCTCATGTAGAGTCAGTCAAACTGATTTGTGTTTAGAGTTTTATTTCAGGGTGAATTTAAGGTTTACCTGTTGATAAACGCCACAGGAATCGGAAAGAGAATCCATTGTTGATCATTTTTCAAGATTACCTTTTTTTTATAACTTTGATCCAGTTTGCATCTTCACTTAAACAAAGATTACTCCTTGGAACATCATCAACAGGTTTAACATCTAAATAATGATTTCTATTGATTACTTGATTAATGTGAATTCAGAATGTTGTTTACTAGCGATTTTCTGGACTGATGAGATTTTTCAGTGAATAAATCCAATTAATCAAAATGTAAACCGATTTGCACCTTGAAAAGGTCAACAATTATTTACAATAAACTCTAATCAATGTTGCTTACTTTAAAATGTAATAATTGATTATGAATTGAAATATGCATATTCATAATAAACATGAATAGAAGGATATTTATTATGAAAAGTCAAATGAACAAAATAATAATCAATCAAATGATTTTGATCAACAATCAACACTCAAAGTTAACCTGAACAAGTAAACTCTATTCTTGTCTGTTTCCTCTGTAAAACTGGTTCCAGTGACGATCATCGCTCCAACAATACCTGTAACTTACTTGGAGGTCCTTTTAAGTGCCTTAACAGGTAAGCAAAGGAACAATCATAAACTTTTCTTTTTTTCATTGTTGAGCAATTCGTGCCAACGATCAGTCCAGTCGGAGATGCAGTTAAAGGATCATTTCAATTGAACAGATAATCAGTTGAAGCAAATCTTACACAGTCAATAAAGCGCTTCAATAATTTCACCTTTTTTTAGATCAACTTCAACTTATTAATCGTTTAAGCACTTTACATCTTTAAGTAACTATAAATGTTTATGTTTCAAATTAAAACTCAGTTTACCATGAAAGTAAACATTTTTTCACCATTTCCGATCTTTTGTTTGCTTTTTGTTATATTTTGATTAAGATTCATCCAAAGATTCATTCACTGGTTAACTTGTTCAATTGTTATATAAAAGTGTTTTTTGTTTTTAACTTTTCATTGGAAATTTCATCTTCTTCATTCAATTCTATTCAATTTAAGGGAAATAAAGAAATTATTTCAACCATTTAACACATTTTAACACACATTTTGAAACTATTCAGATGAAACTGTACTTTGGATTGTTTTATTCATTAAAGATCACGAATTTCAGCGCAGGTAAAACGGAAGTTTAAGTTTAAGAAATATTTCTAGCTCCGAGAAACAAAGGGTTAGTTTTGACCACGTTCTGTTGTAAATTTACAAAGAAAAGTAAAAGTTTTAGAAAGTTAAAAATCGTTTTTTTCTCTCTGTTAAATTTATTAATCGAAATGACTGGAAACAATGATAACTCTAAAAAAATAACAATTTTGCATCATCTATGCAAGATATTAATGATAGCACTTGTTTCTTTCTTCGCTCAAGCCTGGGTATTACAAACCATGAAAATCCTTCCGATTTGCAAGTTGAGCTTATCTCGGCAGAGCGTGAAGACATCTAACCGAATGTTCCACATGGTATTGTCTAATAGAGAATACTAGATATTTGTTGAATAAAAGAAAAGACATTATTCCGAGTTATTCTCAAAAGTCAGAGCTGCACTTCCTGAA